CACGATCCCAGGCCGCGTACTCTCGAATTGGATTGTTCCCTATTGCGCCCTTGTAGCTACAGGCCTGATCGGTGCGCAGCTACCTTAAAATTATCACTTGTGCCAAATTTCTTTTATTCTTAGTTTCTTGCTTCATTACCATAGATCCGAGGCTCGAGTGGAGCAGGGTAGTGGAATAGAGCAGACCAAAACCAATAATTGGATGTATAACGTCAGTTGTTCAGGATATGAAAATAGACTCACAGACTGCCAGATACCAATACAATGGCAGGACGCTGGGATGTGTTCGAACCAAGCTCATATCGTCTGTCTGAGTAAGTTTTTCATGTTCGGAGCTGGTGTTTTGGGATGTAGGCGTCAGAGCCCTAAGTTACAAAATATTTACCAGTGTCTTGTGTCATGAAACCCTCGAAATATTTTGCAGGAAATATCTAGTTCTGTCTTGGCAAAGTTCCAGTATTGCTCTGGTGTCCGTTGCAAAAAATCAAAAATAGTTTTCACACTTTTAGACTGTAGAATGCGTTCTGGTGCATGTTTTCATTCCGTTGTGTTTGTGTTTTGTTTTGTACATTATACGCGCTATTCCAGGTGTCCCGAATGTAGTACGACTAGTTGGTGGAAACAGTTCTTATCAGGGACGATTGGAGTATTTCCATAATGGTGAATGGGGAACTATTTGTGGTGACATGTTTGGAAACACGGAAGCTTCCGTTGCCTGCAGACAGCTTGGTTTCACTACGTAATACATTTTGACATAATTATAGTTTGTGGACAATTATTGGTCAAGCACATGTGGCATTCCTAATGTGGTAACAGCCCTTATTGTTGTAGCAACATTTATTGTGGTAGCAACCCTTTTGTGGTAACAACCCTTTTGTGGTAAATGTGTTGAATTCGGTCACAACCCCTATTATGGTAACCACAATAAGGGTTGATACCACAATAGGGATTTAAGGTTTTTTTTGTCAATGGCAACAATCAACAATAAACACACATCGTAACTAGAACATGGTAAAATTCTCGGAATTCGGTGTCAATAGGCGCCTGTTTCTATAATTTCAGACAAGGTGCCCACTATGAATCAAATGCCTTCTTTGGCGAAGGAACCGGTCCGATATGGTTGGATGACCTACGCTGTAACGGTGAGGAGAAGTATCTTACTGATTGTCTTAATGCAGGATGGGGTGAACATAATTGTAGACATCAACATGATGTGTCTGTTATTTGTACAGGTAAGCAATACAGTCATTCATTTGATACGCATGTGAAAACCCTAAATTAATGTCACCCTTATCCGCAATATTAATGTGAACATGGCCTCGAACAAGATGGCCATTGTCTAAACAGAATGAAGCTTTCTCCATATTAAGTAATATATATACCGAAGAATCACTATTGGCTATGTGATCCCTGCGAACCTAGTTGCATAGTAACATCGGGTCATGCTCGTAACTACAGGTGGCAAGGAGGGGCAATGCTCACCCCAACCCCACTCCCGAAAAAATGGATTGCCCAACTCTGACAAAATTCTGACAGCCAACCAATTTTATTACTTCAACTAACGACCATAACCAATTGCCCCTCTGGATATATTACTAACCCCTCCGAACAATCAAGTCTGGCGTCGAGCGTGCTTCAAACTTTTGGTTTGTGGTCTGGAGGTCCTGGGGATCTATCATGAAATTGTCATATGATTTCTTTCAGAACCAAGTCCAGTAGCCAACGTGAGCATCTCAAAGGATCAAGATTCTAATTTCATCGAAGGCGAGAACGCCATTCTGACATGTACATCAACAGAAACTTATCCACAAGCTACTATAAGGTGGTATGTTAACGGCGAGGAAGTCAGTGGAACCACTACTACAGTGAATGATGGGATCTCGACGAGCATTCTCGAATTTCAGCCTTCTAGACTTCATCAAGATCCGCCACAGATGCCAGTGGTGTTTTGCTCAGCGTATAATGGTTTGGGCAACAGCGTCACTTCGTCCAAGAAGCTTACTCTTGATCTATTTTGTAAGGGAATTTTCAGTATAATACGCACGTACTAGTACTATAAGATGTTCGTGGACTTGTACGTGTTTTCTACACTGCAACCGAACTAACTTGCAGCTCACATCAAAAAGATGCCTGATTGAAAATTGGAATGGTGCAAATTGATGCTATTAGTGTCCATCATAAAAACTTTACAATCCTTCTAAGTGCCACACTTTTGACTCTCAACAGCTAATAAATACGGCGATATTAGATTGGTGATAATTTACCAGGTATATCATCTATTCCAGATGGCCCTGACTCAGTAATAATTACTCCGGAAGGAGAACAGTACGTCAAAGAAGGCGGCAAAAGTTCTACTATATCCTGTTCAGCCGCCTGTAAACCGACATGTATCATCAGCTGGCAAAGAGAAGACACCAAGGGAGATAATTTGATCTCATCCAGTAACGGCGTGCTACAGATGAGCAATGTCCATAGATCGGACACTGGGAAGTATTACTGTCGGGCTCTGAATAAATTCACCGGTAAAAATATAACAAACTTTGTGGATTTTAAAGTCATTTGTAAGTACATGCACCTTTTTACTTTTCAATTTCAATCATTTTTCATCATTGTCATTATTGTCAGAGTATAAGGATCGTCATTATCAGTATCGGCATCAGTTGTACCATCATCCATGGTCACCTTAATCAGAAGAATTGTCGCCCGTCATCATCATTATCCTCATAACTCTAAAACCTTGATAAATTGAATTAAATTTGTTCCCAATTTTTAGATGGTCCATCATCTGTTACATTCAACCCACCAACGGAAGAGAAAACAGAGGTTGTGTCCGGCCAAAATCTGGAGATAGCATGTCAATCCGACTGCTTTCCGGAATGTATGGTTCAGTGGTTTAAAGACACGATCAGCGACAAGACTAAACTCGTGGATGACAAGATCCTGAAGCTGACAGCCGTCAACAGAGACTCTACTGGAGATTATATTTGCCAAGTTAGACACACTTCTATAGACAATGCCATGGTGACTAAAAAGTTCAGTTTGTCTGTTCAATGTAAGTTTTATTATCTTGTTCTTTAAAGAAGGAGGGGAGCTTCATAATGATAATGATTCTGACTGAATCATATCTCCCAGTGTTCATGAATTTATGGGTTTTTGTTTATGTCAATTTTGTTTATGAAAAAATCTTTCAGTGTTAGCCTTATGTCGAATTGTTGATAATTGGAGTCTATTTCAATCAAGCCTTTGATCCGGCAGTTGACATATTTTCATCAGTGAGTTCGGTTATATGGTCACACGCCGGTGTCGGTTGCATGAGCAAAGATCTCGTCAGTTTGCATGATAATAACATGATAGTTCACTATGTTTCCTTAGATGCACCTGTACAAGATACAGCCACAGAAACCAAGAGTCAACTACCGATTAAAGAAGGTAAACCAGCAGAAATGAGTTTCAGGGTCTCTTCCAACCCACCTCCGACCTTTAAGTGGTATAAACTTCTAGCCGATGGGACGAAAGTAGAACTTAAGGACCCCAGAATTAAACAAAAAGATACATCGACATCCTCGACTTTAGAGATAAATGAAGTCCAAACCTCTGATTATGGACGATACGTTGTGTATGCTAAGAATGATCGAGGCACCTCTTCTATGGTTTACCATCTTCAGTCACCGTCATCTCCTACAGCCAATGTCGACGGAAGTAGCTCTGGTTCCCAGGATCTAGGTGTTGGTGCTGGAATTGGTATTGGCATCCTGATAGCAGCCATTGTGGTGGTTATGGTAATTATTATTCTATTTCTGGTCAAGAAAAAACGAGGTAGTAAGTAGTTTTGTTTTGTTTTAATCATCCAGGTCAAAAACAAGTGATCCTACTAAGCATGAAAACGTACTGGATCGCTAGATGTGCATAGTGGCAGCACCATTGGGGGTTATTAAATTGTAGATGAACCGAACGTCGTATTTTAATTCTGAAAAGCGATATGGAGAGTGGAAATTTAGTTTTGGCTTATAACGCAGATATCAACCAAAAAGTCAACCCAATATCCAAAACCAGGGGTCCTGTTCTGATGAACATTGTGTATTTGAAACATAAGATGAGCTCAATTCAATAAGATTAATTTATCCATTAAATATTTTAACAGGGTTAAATGGTTTTCCCAATGGTCTCCTTCATTCGGCGTACGCAATGACTGATAAATACTGAATCTACTGATGTCAACTCGCAGTCCCGTGAGAAATTGGATTGTATGCCAGCAAATACAGCACAGCACAGCCCTCGATTTCTATCGTATTTATTTTTTACATTCTTTTTGTCGAGAGTTCAAATTGGCTGTATTCGCTAGCGAACCAATCAAATTGCTGCATTCACAAACTTCTGTGAAAAAAAGTGGGTCAAAATGAAAAAGACGTAATGACCTTGACCTTTGTGAAGATGGTCTATATCGAACTCAATAAGTTTACAGAAAATGGTTGAATTATATCAACGTCAGAAGGTGTCAGTAGACCTACAATACCAAAGAAACGTTATTTTAGTCGATGATTTAAAACATATACTAAAAGTCAACTTTATCGATGGGCCAAACACGTAGGACGTAAAACTCCTTTCAATTATTTTTGGTTATTCACAGAATACCTCAGATAACTGTAACTGTATTCCTATTCCTATGTTAATACAGCATTTATATATTATGTTTTCCAAGCAATGTATATATTGAAATTAAAGCAATATGTCCTAGCTGTGAACCAAAGTTCTAAGTCATATATCAAAATGTTGGATTGTTGGATCGAAGTAGATTATAAATTTGCCTTACTGTCATTTGTCAGAGTAATTAAAATTAAACCAAACTTTCGATCCGTTTTTATTTTTATTAGCTTTTATTTTCAATATAGCTACTTCAGTTAGGGTCTAACGACGGCCTTCTTGAACGTTCGTCAAATTAACCTTTAGACCTAACTCGATGACGTCTGCTTTTCTACCATCTCCAGCGCTGGCATTTTATGACACGGTGTTAATCAAGTTAGGTCAAAAGATTAATTTGACGAACGTTCAAGAGGGCTGTCGTTAGATATATATTGAAAATAAAAAATAATAAAAAACATTACGAAAGTTTGATCTAATTGTATTAGACTGTGATATTTGTGCTTTTTTAGTAGGGTTTTAGTAGCGTTAGATTAATTCTCCGTCTTCCCACATTTGAAAATTATCAACGGGGAAGCCCGCCTGGGCTACTAGTTCATATTGTTTTTATGAACTTGTGTTATGGACCTGAGAACAAAAGTGTTATGTGATAAAGATTATTATTATATGTAAATTTCGGGATATTATTATGATAGATTTTGATAATTGCTCATTTGCATAATGCAATTATATAAATTATATGTTGTTTAGAATATGTATAATTTTTTACGTTTATATACTTGCTTTAGTTTAATTTTAAATTTTTTATATTTTCATATTTGGTTTTGTGATATTTCTTTTTCTTACACAAGATCTCGAGAGGCTCTGTAGCACAGTCGATTAAGCGTTGACGGTACATGACGCCATTTGCCTTGTTATATCGAACATATAGTTGTCGTGGTTTCTATTCGCGGTCGACGTGCAGTAAAAGGCTGCCGATCTCTTCATCTTTCCACATTATGGCAGTCGACCAAAGTACGGTTAATCCGGAAAGATCTATGGAATGCCAATACGTCAAACAAATGGTGGTCGTGGGTTCTAAAAATTGAGCTCTAAATCAGCTGGAAAAGCAAATATTTAGACAACCTATCAGTAGATTTGACACATAGTCTTATTGTGTAGAAAAGAACACGACGTTTGTTAAAATCATAATAATAGTTTTCATTAAGATAAATTATACAATCTTTAACAATATATCAATAACAAGAATACAGAACTATTCAAATATCTAATAGGCATCGATAAATCGTGGATCTAAGCAGGAGGCGTGTTTCTCCTCGTCCACCATCTTGATTTGCCAGCTTGGTACGTCATCACCATAAGATGGCGCCCAATAATAATGACGTCTGGGTCGTCGATCTACTTCACAAAGGTAGGTAACTCCATCGACAACGTACGGCTTTACATCAGTGTCTCTTTGATGTATTCGTCCGTGCTCTAATAAGTTTGCGAAGGCATTACATGCTGACTCTTCCAAGACGTTTCCCCAGATGTAAATATTACTCAGACGCATGTTCTGTTTGATGCTGTCTGCGATGGCGCACAATCCCTTTCCTTTGATGTTATTGTTATTAAGTACCAGACATTGCAAGTTCGTGTTGTACGTACCAAGTGCTTCAGCTATATGCATTGCACCGTCGTCTTCCAAACGATTGTATCCTAGGTCCAGATGCTGTAGGCCTGTATTGTTCTTTAAAACTTTGGCCAACTCCTTAGCACCATCTCGTGTGATTCGATTGGAACTAATATCTAAATGGGTCAGAGTAAGGTTGTTCATTAAACACTCGGACAGTCTGGTCATTCCAAAATCTCGCATGTCATACTTCCGTAGGTGTAGCTCCTTTAAGGTTATGTTCACTTTGAGAAGTTTTGAGAAATGGACGGTTGTCTCCTCCTGGTGAGTGAACAAAATAGGCCTATTTATATTGAGACTGGTTATACTTGTATTTTGGTACAGGATAGTGCACAATGCGATGATACACTCGATCGTCAAGTCGGTGTCTCCCAAATCTAATGCTTCAAGAGTTCCGTTAACTTGAAGAGCTTGAGCAAACGCCATGCCGCCCTTGTTACCAATCTTATTTCCGGTCATGCGTAAAGCCTGTAGTGTCTCATTTGATAACAGTCCTTTAGCGATGTGTTCAGCACCAACAGCACCAATATCGTTGAACATCAGGTTAATGTCTCTAATGGTGCAGCTTTCTTCGATGAGTTTTCCGATATGAACAGCCCCTTCGTCTGTGATTTGGTTGTATCTTAAATCAACGCTAGTAACAAAGAGATTATTGGACAAAGTTTTGTACAAAACCAAACAATCGTCATCACCAATCCTAGTCTCAGTCAGCAGACGATTATTTCCCGCCAAATAAAGATGCATAGTGTCCTTAGAATCTAAAACATTTTCTTCTTTTTCTCTTTCAAACATTTTTAATATGTACGGATGTGGCTTCTTATCCAATTCCGTGCAATCGCAGTCGTAGCGAAACGACGTTGCGTGTATGTCCGACATTTCTACTTGGTTTTTCTTTCACGTATTTTCCTGATTTCGCCGAGTCGAAATCGTGTTACTGAACACAATCCTCTTTTTATTCGTTGTAACGCCTCTTTAAACACAAGTAATGATAAGCAAATCCGAGTTCCCCTTGGTTTTTAACGTTAAAACGTTTACACACAAATTAAATAAGGAATGGCACAAGTGATCGCCCTCACTCACTCCAAAACTACTTAATGGAATACAAAATCTTCTCAACTCGGTTGAATATGTAGCTTAGGCCCAACAGTGTATAGTAAACCTATACAATACTTCAACAATGGCCGACTTATCTCGTTGTCAGGTACGCTATTAGCTAGTAACCGTCTCCATAACATAGACGAGATTAACATGACGTTTCAATGACAATGAAGATAATAGGATAATCGTTGACATCCAGTCTTCTTCTGTTATCGACACAGCTGTTCTCAAATTAGGGTAGGGTGATAGAGGCTAATAATAGAAAACATAAAATTTCGAATAACCAGACCGGCTTGACAATGATACATAACGTCATAAATAGCTGACAAAATTAAACATTTACTCAAGTGTAAACTACATTCCAACAAATATAAATGCTGTGAGAATTTACAAAAACGTGCGAATTTTCCATGTATTCGCATCAACGAAATTTGCAAATTCTGTTAAATTGTCGGTCATGTCGACATACAATTCGAATTGTGTAGTTAGCCCCCAGAAAAGGAAAATCACGGAACAAAGAAGTCTTTATTCGCACTTAAAATCAAAACGAAACAAAATCAACTCCGATAAAATCTTCCCCGAAGACAAAATAGAACAAGAGCGATAGGCTATATGACGATTAAGTCAGCCTATAAAAAAAAAAATATGAATTATCTGGATATGAATAATCCCCTTGAAGGCAATCTATTCATATAATTTCGTTTTGTTTAAAATAGTCAACTTAATGAGATTCGACTGGTAAGTATATTTTCTTGTGGATACTGATTTTGTAAAACGTTCCGAATCTATAATACGATCAAGTTGATATTTGATGAGAATAATATTCTTTACATTCTAATTAGATTTTTCGGGCCTTAATGTATATAACGGCCATTTGACCGCTCAAAACTTGGCTGTGGTTCTTGAAATTCAAGTATAAGATGGCGACGTCATTATCGCAAAAACCATTTAGCTTGAAAGGTATTTGCTACAGTGAAGATTACAGAAACTTCAGACATCTGATCGAAGGGTTTTGAAACACATGAAAAGGCAAGAAAATCTTTTTGAATGACAATAATTTCAGATCGCAGTATCGCACATTAACCATGAGATGGTTTCACAGTTTTCTGCTGGTAATTGGTCTTGTTTTACTGGTCTCAGGTATGATTGGCTTTATTTACCATCTATATAAAGAAGTAAAGATATCTTGATAATTATGTTTCGGGGTTATGAATTCCATGCTCATTTTAGTAATTTATCTTACTTTGCTCATATGCCTGAATTCCAGATTGGGAAAAATACTTCCCATTTCCAAAATTGATTTTCCTGATGAGGACTGTGTGTCTGTGAAACACGTTTCGGAAGTATTCTGATGCGCCTTAGTAAATTAGATTGTCGTTCTTTTCATCCATACATGGTATTTGTGGTTTTGAAAGTTACAACAACCCAAAGTTCCGGTAGCTTTCACCAAAAAATACCTTAAATTTGACAGTTTTTTTTCGATTCGAATAATGCATAAGTGATGAAGTCGCGCTATCTGAACGTTAAGACAAGTTAACGCATCGTTTTGTCTTTTCCAGTTCAACACTCAGATGGTACGGCTGTTGAAAGCGGAGCAGATTCACCAGATCCACAGACCAATCTTGGGTTATGTAGCTGTTGTAAGAATGAGGAGATATGGAAGAGTGTCGCATACATGAAAACCTTGATCACGTGGCTACGATCCAAAATGGCGGATGCTGGTAACGAAGCAGTGCACTATCAGAAATTGGAGTAAGTAGTTATTGTGCACATTGACTTCCTTGGAAACAAAGGAAATTCTTAGTCTTAAAGCGGCAGTCTGTCTAAATGTTACAGAATACATAAAATTTGATTTAAGGCTAATAGTGAAAATCGGACTGAAATACAACCAAATGAATTTTGTAAAATAAGGATTACTCCCTAATGCATCATCCATTTAGGTCCATGTATATACATGACAAACTGATTTTCTTCTTTTCATTTTATATTAACATGAAAACACAACTTTAACCCTTTGCCAGTGCCTGCTGTTGAACAGTGATTAGTTGTTTGTCAATAGTAATTGGCTTCTTTTCAACAACTTTAATCCCTCTAATGTAACAGGGCTCCGCCAGATTAGTGGGGGACAGCGGACTTGGCTCAGCCAGCTCCTACGGTAGTTGAGCTACTTCCTAACGAAGTTACTACAAAAAAAGAATTATAGAAACAATATTAATACAAATTTATATATTATTTTCCAATGGGAGAAAACAATATAATTTCTGTTTTTGTTTTGTTTCTGTCCTGTCACATACTACCCCTTTAAATGACGATGAGATTTTGGGTTCCTGTCACAAGGCGTAGATATCTTCTCGAAAATAGTCTTTTTCTTTCAGCTATCTGAAGAGTTTTGAGTATAAATTTTTGGTTTTTAAATCAAAATATGATCCCGAACCCGAACCGGAAATAGACTGGCCATGGTAGACGAAAATAAAATCAGAAATGTTTGTTGTCTTTTTTTTTACACTTTGAAAGAGTTATTTCCCTTTTGATACGCTTTGACAATTCTGTCTTTCCCTCGGCTTGCAATGCAAAGTGGGAAACAAATCGTACTAAAAAAGAGATATCCACGAAGAGATTTTTATCAAAATAATAGGGCAATCATTGAAAATGTGAAAGATCAGAAAATTTAATAGCTTTATCGACGTTTGTGTGCGTTGTTTCACTCTTTACGACTTTTGGGTCGGTAACGCTCTGGGGTCAAAACAAATCCCGCAGTGGTTAACGGCCAGAAAACACGCATCAGAGAGTAACTTATTTGAAATAAACGCGAATATTGGAGTGAAAACAAATACGTGACCCCCGCATCTGATCTGTAGACCACGTAACGAATAATTGCTCTCTGATTGGATATGTCAGTTTCGCCACCGCGACCATGAAAATATCGCATGCAAATTTTCGCGTGCTGTAATTGTTTTGACGCTCTGTCGCATCGCCGCAAATGAATGACCTCCAATTTATTCTCATTGATACCTTTAGACGTGGCGATTCCCGCGAAACTGCGTCAGGTGCGTTTTACCCTTGACCTAAAAATTTGGTAATATCATAACAGAAATGATAGTCATGACGACCAAAGGAAACTAGAAAAATGAGAGAAAATGTTTAATTTTGACGACTTACAAACGGCTTATGACATTACAGAGGTGAATGTCGGAAAGAGTTTCGGGCTATGGAATATGTAATATAATTATGATATTGACGGCTAGAGATATGGTATGATTTATTATCGATATAGAATAGAAGGAAACAACTCAGTGTTTAATATGTTCTTAACATAGAAAACTACTTAACTTGTTATTGCATAATTAAATAGGTGATATGTGTGAGCTTCGTGAAACCAGGTATTGTGACCAAATACTTTCTCCCGGGGGGCACTCGATTGGCGAGTTCTGTTCGTTCGAACTAACCCGATTTTCAATAAAACAATTCGGAACAGGGTTCAGAATGCGTTCCACTGGTGCCGAAAGCGTGAATTCAAAATGGTGGAGAAAAGATTAAAAGGGTAAATTTGAATGTTGACGTATTCGGATTCGTACTTACGATTGATGCCAATAATGGAACAAGCGGAAGCTGTTCAGAACTAAGCAATCGAGCGCTACCCCAGAACTTAGCAGTATTCTGAATTTAGTTAAAGTTTAAGGTAGTTCCTTCCTGTTTCATAAAAACTGTTAAGCGAATACTTTTCATTAAAAATTCAATTAAAATCGACTTATCCACAAACATTAATGTGTCAATTGCATCCACGGTTAAATGACATGTACTGAGCGGGTCGTGAAACTTCGACGTTGGCTACACGCAGTCTCTGGCACTTAGACTGTTTTCGAGAGTATACAGCTGTGCGCAGACTGGGCGATAGAGGCTGGGGTATTTGTTGCATAATGGTCAACATCCTTATTGATAAACCAATAGTCGAGAACTGTAAATATTCTGTAGAAACACCCCCAATTCTTGATCTGTAGTGGTGATGTTATGAGCCACCGATGGGACTTAGACGATGGATACAGGTGACCTTTGGTTAATATCCTAATTGCTCTGTCAATAGTTGTAATGGATATAGAACTGTAATGATGTAATGAGTGAGAACGACTCGAGTAATTACTGCTCACTGGCTGATCACAGCTAATCATTACTATTTAGGTAACTCGTAATCTTAGATTTAATATTACTAGAGCTCTATACAAATCATTAGAACAGTCGAAACTGTCCGTTTAGCACAGGACGAAATGTATCTCGAACATCATTTCTAGTAACTCTTAATTTTAGATCTAATATTACTATAGCCCTATACAAATCATTAGCACAATCAAAACTTTCGAGTTTTCGTGTACGAAATATATTTCGAACATCGTTACTAGTACATCATCTCAGATTTAATATTAGGCCGAAACCATCTGGGAACACATCACAAAATATATCTTGAACACCAAGCCAGTAAAGAATCCCAGAAATAATATTAAATCACTAGCACAGTTGAAACTTCCATGATGTAGACTTAGGCCATTCGACCTGACCCAATCCTTCATCCGGATCTACTGTTTCAATAGTTCGAGTCAGCCTGAAAAAGGTCTGTTACATAATATTGGCTTTTCTGATTTCCTCGCAATCTATCACTCCCGGTTGTGTTCACGGATGCGTTTGGGAGCTTGGTTAGATACCAGCCCTGTTCGTTCGTTTTTGTAAGTAAAGGTGGTGTTGTTGACCGCCTTCTGAAGGTCGCCCATCATCGTGTCGAACCAAATCATTCGTCAATATATCAAAACCCGTATTTGGATACGAATTGAACTGGCCTGTTAATGTCAAAATGTCAGAAACGTCAAAACATCAAGAAGTTTTCATATTCACTTATAAATTGAGTGGCATGTTTTGATGGAGCAGATTATTTCAACTTTAGGCATATTATAATCAAGATTAAATCGGATTATGTCCGAGTTCAAAATCAATATAGCAAAATGACTGATTGCCGCGATTGTAGGGAGGTTAATCGCTTCATAGTCTTTTCTCGGGAAGCCAATTATTTTAACATCGTTGATTGGTTTTTCACCTGTTTACGCATGTTGCTTGGAAACAAAATGGCGAACGACAACTCAGTTAAGCAGACGAACTTTACTACAGAAGAAGAGAGCAGTGGTTCGTTTTGAAACTTGACAACATGACACAGTAGATCAGGTGGATTTCACAGCGTTTCGGAATTTCGGATTTTAATTTAAACTGTGGATATAAAAATCAGTGTAAAATTATTTCGGTGTCCTTGTTTTTAAAATGAAATGGTCGGGCTTACTGAGTATTGTGTTTCTGTTTTACTTTGGCACTGAAGTTTCGGTAAGTTTTAATTTTTTGAAATATCGTATCATTTAAGATGATCTTGATGAAATACATAGTTTAATCTGGGCTCTTCCTATGGTGATAAAACATCTCCGTGCAGATCTGAGTTCTGTTCATAAATTTTAATTATTGTTGCTTGCACGTTCGTTTTGCCAGCTCTAACCCAAGTTGTTTTATTTGGTGTATTACATTAAAGACACAGATGGTTAACCTAAACGTAAAATTAAAAAAATCTCTAAACAATTACTGTTCGACCGCAATGTTTACAGAATCGTATTTTGTCAATCATTTTTATATGAAGTGAATTATTAACTCCAAAGTACTACTGATAGACTAAGATTGCTTCTGGGTTGATGAAAATTACAAACAATGAAAATATTATTATTTAAAAATAAGATTTTACAAAGGGGAAAGATTCAGTCCGAAATGTGGGTCATTTTCATAAGACATTCTGCGAGAGAAGTGTCTATTTCAGTTGTAAAAACCATTATGTTTTTATATTTTTTTATAGCAATGGTAGGATATTATCCACATACAATCTAGAATATGGATGATATACTATCAGTGCCAAAAGAACATGATGTTTCTATAGACCCGAAGATATTCTAGGACAAATGACATTCATTTCAATGACATTTAGTCCCTATTACAAGGTTTACCTGCTCGAGTGAAACACGGTAGAAATGTGTTATAATTCCGGACTTGTTTTAGAGTCGCGCAGACGAGTCGTCTTTTGGTTTAGTAAACGTGTCGACTAAAGATTGCTGACGAGTTAACAACGAGTTAACTTACTTTGTTGGCGAGTTAACTTACTTTGTTGACGAATTAACTTACTTTGTTGGCGAGTTAACTTACGTTGTGGACGAGTTAACTTACGTTGTGGACGAGGTAACTTACGTTGTAGACGAGTTAACTTACGTTGTAGACGAGTTAACTCAGTCGAAGAGTCGACTGAAGGTTGTAGACGAGTTTACTTACTTTGTTGACGGGTTAACTTACTTTGTAGACGAGTTTACTTACTTTGTAGACGAGTTGACCAAACACCGTTTAAGATATTCCTTCCAATTTCGTATTGTCGTCACTAAAAGTTGATCGATTTCTAATTTCCATCTAGCTCAGCATGTGTTTTGTTTATCATTCTATCGATTCCAGTTGGATTGAAGATTAAATCTAAAATTTTCATGAGTTTAGGTTACGTGTTTCTTTGAGGTGTTTTAAATGATGCTATTGATTTCTTTGACTACTTCAGTGAAATCAATTAATAAAAGTTACAAAAAAAAAACTAACAGAATATTCATCATGAATAACGATTTATTGAAATTGAACGAAGTATGCGAAAGAGAATATATCGTTAAGTCAAGCACATATTATTTTGAAATTTGTTTTTACAGTGGACAATTTTCAGTCAAAATTTGGTTATTCTCTGTCGGAATATGTATCAAATGTAAATTATACAAAACTTGATGATTGCTCTATTGCATTGAATGCTATTGGCCATCTCCACAGTGTCAAGAAAGGTAGCTATTGCAGTCATGGTATAAGTACGAACCAATTGTGAAGATGGCTATAGGCTGCCATTTTGGATTTCAATGATATGCGAACAACCAGGCAATGTGGTCCTTGAAACGTATACACCTTGTTTCCAATGGCCTCGGGATATTTGCAATGCGTTGAATCGGAATATAGATAGACTGAATGAATTATGTTTTTAAAGTCAAGGGAAAGGAAAGGCGTTATATTTCAGTTCGAAGTATTGTATCATTTGTATGGAATCACCGGCTCCATGATGTCATCTTCACAGTTTCAATCTATTACGAACCTCTTCTTATACCTTGACTGCAATAAAATCCGTATAAGCAAGGCAATTCTGTCCCACAGAAAGTCGGGAGTATATGTAGTATAGTAGTGGATTCCTCCAAAGAGAAGTACCACCAGGTGTCTCGCAAAGAGTAAGCATGGTCTGCTTGGCGAGCCACTTTTCTTATATCACGGCATTCAGCGGTTTGGTTTAAATGTACGCTAACGAATACAGCCAATCAAAGCCCTCGACAGAAAGTCTGTGATCACAAAGCCATAATGTTTACATCCTTTCTGTCGAGATCTCTGATTGGCTATATTCCCGCTGCATTCTGTGATACTGTAAGAATAGTGGCTATTGCAGTCAAGGTATAAATACGATAAATTGTATTGTAATAAAAAGATCGCGGTTAAAAATCACAGAATTTGCCGTTTGTACCCAAGAAATCACGAAGGTTTGTACGAGCCCAATTTGTTCAACGTATTGCAAAACGAAATCATGTAATCCGCTAAAATCCGAAATTTGACATAACTCATTTGGAGGGGTTATGATCGTTAATGATGACGAGTGTATTAACAATGTTCTAGTCACATTCCATGCTATTGTTGTCAATATGAAATCCTACTCGTTCCGCCTGATTAATTCTATAATGAATTAATATAAGCTCGGGTATTGTTTATAATCCCTGTACCTATATTATAGGCACATAATACCCTAGCATTGTAAGTCCCATATTGATATACTCCAGGCCAATATTACCTTGAAATAATGAGGTTTGTGACAAATACAATATACACATGGCAATTCAAATAAAATTACTATCGAAATTGTACACAAACAGTGTGCCAATCGGAAGTTCTGAGATGTAAGTTACAAATATATAAAATATTGTACACATTACAATTCAAATAAACGAAATATCATCCCTAAACACTGTTCTAAACTTGTACACAAACAGCATGCAAATCGGGGCTTCTGAAAGGTGATATGCTATACTCTATTTGTGATAAATAAAATATAGTAAGGATTCTCATCAAATACAACCAAATTGTGAACAAACAGCATGCAAACCGACTTTCTAATGAGTGATATGGGCTTTAATTCTTAGATTTTCAAACGTCGGTTCATATGTTCCCTTTATCAATGGTATTAACTAACCATTGGGCGCTAAATGTTTCGCTTATAAAGATTTCACAATTTGCCCGCAATAAAACAATGGATACGACCATTCCTGCCATTTCCACAGGCTCAATACAAAACTACCAACCGTAAAATTTGAATCTTGGAAACAAACAATAGAAACATTGTCTGTTCGGCATCAGCTGATTTCATCAACAAATCATTATATTTTAATCAACTGATTGAAAATTATGGTTGAATGACTACCTCGGTTCCCTGGGAAGTTTTCACCCCCTGGGGTGTGAGACTAGAGTGTCAGGGGTGTGGCCAACTGGTGTAGGAGAAGAATTTATATTGAGTTGAGAGAGCACATCATCACATGCTGGAAATGTGGATGAAACAAATTTTTGGGGGTGTGAATGGTCCAGGTGATTGCTAAAGGGTTGTGAAGGCTGAAAAAGGTTGGAAACCACAATTTCCCTCATTGCATACTACGTAGCTTCCTCACTGGTTCAGGCAGGTTAAAACATAATGGTGACTTAGTTAACGATAGAGTAGTAGGACGTGAAACTCCCTTTTTCTGCATTAGAGTTTCCAATAACCAGTCAGTGCCCGATAATAATTAGATATTGGACTACGGGCGTGGCACTAGGCATGGTATGCCTATTCTTCTAGACACGATACCACTTTTCATTATGAAATACTTACTTATGATTGATATACTTCCTCATTTCATTAGCTGCTACCAATGTTACGCCAAAAAGTTTGTTACGGGTGTCGGGTTTCGTTTTGCGGTTCGGATCGCGACTACTTGGTTTATTTACAGTAAAATATTAAACTCCATTTCAATTTATGAGCCAAAATATATGCAGTTTATTAGGATGACAATTTCATTCAGCACCTTGTCATGATTATATCGTTAACTAGAGCAGAATGTAAATCTCCATTTCATTACAGTTTCAAATAAACATCGTGAAAATCCATTTATCCAGTAATCTATGATGGTAACAACATCGTAAGCGAAAATATAATACAAATACTAGTTTATCAATATTATCATTAGTAACTGTATTACTTAGCTTTATTATTATAATAAATATTAGCCAACTTGACCAGTTTAGTTCTATGGGTTAAAGCCCGTTCACACCATCGTCTTTTTTGATGAATATTTTTCGGAGCGTTAGATGAAATTCAGCAACTGTGGACAGATTAAATCTTGGGCGTTGTTGAAATATTTTTGTTCCGTGATCATTTGCCAACATAATTCTACCAGTGTACAAAGTTCCCGAACAACGTAGGATTGTGTGCATCGGGCTTAAGCTCTTCCGTGTCCATTGTCTTTATAGAGTCAAAGACTTTCGTTGTGCCAGAAATAGAGAAAACACTTCAGAATCTTTGACGAGGTATTGAAGAGACCAGATCAGACAATGGAAAGCTTTGTTGGAACTAAGATGAAAACTGTCATAGACTGTCATTTTGTAAAGAGTTGAAAAAACTCTCTGACTGGGTCTTGACGATACCAAAGGCCCATCGACAGATGGAAATCAAACATGGTAGCCTAAGGTCAAGATCAATTAACCTCTAACGCATTATCTTTCTTTAGAGTCTTAGACATAAAGTGACAACAATCCTAATTTGGTTCTAAATTGGTAGTTTGATATAAAGAAAGAACTTTTACAAGGATAACAACTTAGGTTCACAAGAATACTGTTCCTTGGCCAAGACTCATGGTATTGATCTTTCCAGGATTAACCGTACCCAGTTACAACTTGAATAATCGGGGATATCAATCATTCAAATCCAAAATAGATAAAATCCTGAACACTCGGTTAAAATCTGTACCAAATGAACTAGAAGAATAAAACAAGTCTCTGTTAATAAATGTTTTTTTTTTCATATCAACGCATTGTTTTATTGTAATCTTCTACATCTAATAAACTATAATCAACTTATTGAGAGAAACATTAAAGATCAATGAAGTTATTTGAAACGCTCGTCTACTCTCTGTTTATCATTGTACTTTTCTTATTTCAATAACGTATTGAAAGACCGAGAATGATTCGGATACCTCGTTCTTAGAATAAAGTTTCTGGTCGACCAAATCAAGATTTTACGGGAAAGCTACTTTCAGTACCCAACCATCCCTCAGATTAAAGTCGTCCCTCTCTTGACTTGACTTTACATCTTTCTGGGGTTCATCCATTATATCTTGCCGTTTCGAATGGTTTTATCGATGTTTGCTTTCCAGCTGGTACAAACCTCTTGGCATTGATTTTTCCAGGATTAACCGTACCCATGTATATCTGGGTCGAGTGTAGATGACTTATTCAAGGTCATCGGACTTTCACACGCCGGTCGCAAATGGCGGCATGTAAAGAACCAACGCTCTGTGTTACGACGACTGTGCCATAGAACCACCATCAGTCCTCCAGGAATCAATGTACAATAATTCTTGGATAGTGGGATTGATATTAATATGAATATAACCATGTTTTTATTGTAAATATTGACAGAGTTACACAATAAACCTTTCAATCGTTTTCCTATTATCAACTATTACAGCGTTGTCTGAGTAAGATGCCTTAACTTTCGATTTTTATTGTAATGTTAGGATAGGTCTCACTTTTACCTCGTTGTCGATGAAAGAGGATTATACTAGGTAATTTTATTTTATATTCCTGGTTTTGGTTGGACACTGTAATTTGTTGAAACGTTGTGTAAAAAATCTCAAAAGTAGTATTGCTTATACCATATAAATACATAACATAACGATGTAAATTGTCGCGTTTTATACAAAAATGCTTATAAATACTATTACGTATACCATATAAAATGCTGATGACATTGTAAAATGTTGAAACGTTGTATACGATAGGCTCAGTAGTACTATGACATATTCCATATGAATATATATAACGACGATGTAAATTGTTGAAACATTGTACAATGAAGCTCAAAAGAAGATTTATTATACAACATAAACCGATGAAAATGTAAATTGCTGAAACGTTGTGTACGACTAAACCAACGATTATATAGCCATAAAGTTATTTCTTTCATGTTTTCAATCATAGTTGAAATGTTACAATACACTCAGGAGTAGTATACCATAAAATTACATTATTTAATATCATTTAATTACTTGTTACGTTATTGACTGTGAGCGGCAATCGATGACAGGTTCAATATAAACTGGTTAAAGAACATAACATAGAATTACATTTTAACTAATGTTTTTATTAGTCAATATTATCGATTAGAAATCGATATTTATATCAATCAGATAATTTCATTATAAGATTAGTGTACTATATAGTGAATTTCTGTTATTGTATTGTTTTATAATTTGAATATACTTAGGAAACTCATACTAGTTGCAAAGTGTCAATATATGACCTAATTTATATAGAATCTTTGTATTTCCTGCTATCGTGACAGTAGTGATCTAAATAAAGAATTGCCTCTTAATCAAGGTGTGAATATTTTATAGAATTTTTGTCGAGAGATATAATTTTCATTAACGTAACAAACAAGTCTACTATTTCTTTAAATGTTCGTCCATTAAACTGCACCGTATTCAAATGAAATAAGGAAGATGACGGGGCCTTATTTATTGTCAAGCTTGCGTTTGTTTTTCAATGTTAAAATGACAGATACACCAGTCAAAGTACTTCAGTAACAGAGTCCAGTGAAGGAAAGTCATCGAGTGTCTCTTCACTACCGAAATATTTGATTTCTGCAAATCCACTCTACACTGAAGTCTGATGGCATGTTTCAATGAAGTGAGAGAAGACAATATAAGTTATAAATAATTACTAGTAATAAACATGACATTGTTAGACATGATTTGTCTCAGCTACTTTCTTTATTCCACTTCATTGCTTTTCCTTTCTTCTATCGTTTAGACAAATGATGGAAACATTCCTTCTGGACCTTTACTAACAGTTCCAACTATTCAGATCAATATGGCAGTACAAGATTTTTAAGAATTACAAGGACCTTGCCTGGTAGTGAACTCAAAATTGAGTTGAAAATCGTTTGTCAGATGGAGATGTTCTATGGAATGCAACACTTGAGCACCTATCGGCAACTGCGATTTTGCTGGCCGACTGCATCTAGAAATGGATTAGATATACTAATAACAGTCGTTTAAAATTCAAATGCTATCAAATTCCACCTGAGCCTCCACCCTTGTTGTTTTTTTACTGGACGAAAAAATACAGGAGTTATTCTTGAAGCGATATAAAAACACTTATCTATTGAATAATTATACCTTTCTTGTATTTTTCAGATTTGTCAAGATTTAACGTTAAAATGTCCACAAGGTAAGCATAAAGGCATTGTATCCACTGTCTAGCAAACTGTCTTGGTGATGGTTTTTGTACCCGGAACACATGGCCCGTAGTTACCCCAAGTTCTATGGAAGAAAGAAATTTTCAAGGGGGGAGGAGCTTGACATATCCACATTACCAATTTTGCTATCTAAGCATCTCTGAGATGAAGGGAAAATACATAAGCTTTAATCATGTTCATAAACAGAATATTTCTCAGCTCCCAACACCCAAGCTACGGACCTGGGAACATGAATCAAGTCAGGAATACATATTATGTATCTATTTCAGGTTGGACAGAAATATTATCCACTTGTTATCTTCCTGTTACCGATCTTCATACAACATGGCGGCATGCTTACACTTACTGTCAAAGGTGAGATATTAGATCCTTGGTTCCAGACTTAATGGAGAATCGCTACTCCTTTCATACATCTTCATACCCATTGGTCCCCTTCTGAATACAAAATAAACAACAAATGTTGATACATCCTCTGATTGTTGCCAAATGGTACATTTAAAAATTGCAGTGGTTGAGGTATTTGTACCCAAAAGTTGAAAGCCAAAGTCCTATCTTAGCCTATTATTTATAAGCTTTAAAGCATCCCTTCCTCTACCATGATTTGGCATTTCCGGAATGAAAATAATGTTCAGTTTGAAATTAAAACATGGACAAGCTTTGAAAGGGTTGTGGTTTTCGAAACATTTTACAGACTCATTTACTGAGATGTCCCACATTTGTTACTAAGATGATCATCAGATCCTTGGTTTCATGAAAGTAACCAAATACTGTTTTACTTTGTTAGATTTGGAGGAAAGTTAGCTGAACCTGCTGGTGAAGATCAAACCAAACAAGTCAGTCGGCTAATAACTAATACCACCACATCACATTGGATAGGTAAGTCATTGGTTTCGAGATTTAGTTAGATAGAATGGTTCAGTAAGAATTGTCAGTAAAATACTAAACTCCTTCCGTATATTTGCGTATATAATGCGCATGTATTATGTATAATGCACACTCCCTCCCTCCAGTAAATCGGGCAAACTCACTGCGTATTCAACAATATTTAAACTTTGATGTGAATACTTATTCTGCTGAGACTGTTCTCAATATATGAACAAGTTGGACATGCTTTTTTCCTATGACAATATCGATTTTCATTCTCTTTCAATTTGTTGGTCACAGGCTTCACTCAGAATGGTATCCCAGACAATGCCCCCGAGCAAGGATTTTGGAGTGATGATAAACCCACCACAGTAGATGCTGGTTGGTGGGACAACTTCCAGCCGGATAGACGAGGTGGTGACTGTACAGTACTCCGATATACTACAGAATGGAAATGGTACATGACGCAGTGTCTTGAGTTACGGCCCTTTATTTGTGAAACCACTTCTTGTCCAACAGGTAAATAGTTTTTGAATCTACTACGATTTGCTTCACTGCGGCAATTATGCTGTGGAGGCTATAGCGCATAGAGACGCTTGTACGCTAACCTGTGGGTCTAGATCACGACATAGATCGTAAAATCAGGAAAAGGCTAGTTGTCCTACCAAATTGTCCTGTTGGCTTTTCCCATGTTCACTAGCCTAATCAGGCGCTGAAAAGTAGGACGTAAAACTTCATTTCATGTTCTCATAAATCATGAAATTACCACTGGGAAACCTGTTTCTCCTGTATTTCAGATACATTTCGATGTTTAGAGGGAGAATGTTTAAATACAGATATAGTTTGTGACGGTAAAGCTGATTGTCTGGAGGGCTGGGATGAGATCAACTGTGGTAGGTTTTCAAAACTGAGTCTATAACTTGTTCATTTTCTAACAAGTTATTTTCTCTGCAGTTAACTATAAGTGTCTAAGCGTGGATGCTTTGACGTTTCCTAACCAGTGCTTAGTGAACATATCACTTTAAAACTGAGTATCGTACTTCTGGTTTGCTTGTAATGATCAGAAGGTAAATCAATTATATCAAATTGCATTGTGTTCCTGTAAGAATAAACCACAAAATGATTGAAAGAATGGAGGATCTTACTGGATCTTATATTTGATAGTGAAAAATCACTGAATTGTCTTATATTTTTAGCTTCAGATTGTAATCAATATTTACAAAGTAGTGAAGGGCAGATAACTCATCCTCCTAATCAATTATCAACCTATTCACCACGCACCACGTGTCAATGGACTATACATGGAACAGAAGGACACAATTTAGTATTAGATGTAAGTATATTGTATTGTGGGTTGAAAATTTAAGAATTACAGTATATTCGGTTACTCTGATTATAACCGGAAGTCAATTATCCGCGCTACATACACAACTATCACGTATGTAATAATAAAGGCTATTGAAACAACAAGTACGTCAATATAACAAAAGTATATGTAAGATTTGTGACAGGATATTACAGAACTAAGACAAAAAGATACTAAAACAGTATCATATTCTGTATTGACTCCAAGACGTTGCGCAGTTGGTGCTCACATGCCAAGGACCACAAACCAAAATTTTGATGTTTTTTTTGATTCATTTTCTTAACTGTCTGTTCTGTCTTTTCCATCAGTGACATTCGACTTTGGTATTCGTTAATTGTACTTTTGGATCATTTCAGATATCCGAGTTGGATCTAGAAGACGGTATAGATTATCTAGAAATCTGGACTAGTGGATTAACCATATCAACATCTCGATTACATTCTAGATTAACAGGCACAAATCTCCAAAATCTACAATCTATTTATAGTTCAAACAATTGTGCTATCATACGATTGGTCACCGATCCATCCAATCAATTTGCAGGATTTACTTTGGATTGGGAATCTGGTAAGAATAATTTGTAATTCATTTAAACTCAAGCATTGTACAGTTAACAGAATGTTTATTATTGTTGCAATTTCAAAATTAAGATATCCATGCCTTTTAGACATCAGTAATCCTTTTAGAGAATCCACATAGCTAATAATGTCATGAGTACCTATTTTATTGTCGTTCTGCCAAACATAAAGAACCATTAGAAACCTGTGGATTTAGACACTGTAGAAATCAAGTGAATATCAGTACATCTGCACAGTGGAAACATGCTCTAATGAAACGTGTTCTATCTGGGTTAGAGTGGGCAAAATCCTGCGCACTATACACACAAATCTACGGTATTGAAATACGGTATGTGCTCATCGTATCTTGGCTTCTATTCTCGACTTTTATTTTCAGTCTCCGACCTAGTGTCTGGCGATACTGTTTTACAAGCTACTGGAGTCTATCAGCAACTCTCCTCACCTCTCTACCCCAATATTTACCTGGATAATCTATATACAGCCTGGTTGATCAAAGCTACTGGTTCTAATATCATCACCATTGAGGTTTGTTATACTTTCTGGAATGTTTCAAACCCTCTGCCACACATTAAACTGTGCAAATATGTTTAAGTATAAGAACAAAATCACCAAAGTTGCTTGAAATGTGCTCTTGGCATTTTATATACCAAATAAACAAGGTTCTGTATAAGGACTTGCATAAATCTCTAGAACTGGCTTGGTAGGTCGTCAACTTATACCTTAATGATCGGTGCCGTGAACGTAAATCCTGGTGGTCGCAGTCAAAATGGACTTTCTTTACATATGTTGCAGATAACGGATCTAGACATTTCGAGTAATGGTAAAGTGACGATATTTGATGGTGATAGTCCTGGTTCTCCAGTATTAAAAGTATTGACTCACGGAATTCAAGACTCGGTGATCTTGTCTACCAGTTCAGCAGTCCATATTCTGTATGAGAGTGGAACATCAGATCCGGTTTTTAGGAAAGGTTTCCAGTTAAAATATAAAGAAGGTCGGTTGATTTTGCATCGTTGCAAGGCATAAAGTGGCGACGCCATCCTCCTTAGACTGACTTTTTGGGGGATAACTTTAGAGGTTAAGGTTCAAACAAACGATTTTTCTAGAATGTTCCTTCAATGGAACCGCTACTTAAGGCATGTCGTGATTATCCAACACAGGGTGTCATTTTCCAACCCGGTTTCTCTTGTCTTGGACAAATTTCGCTTATTTGCACATTATATGGAATTCCCTGTTATCACGAGCTCAAACTAGAGCAGGGATTTGGTCATTTGCTATCGAATGAAGGCATTGCCATCTTCTGGAAAGGACATGTTAAATTCAAGCAATTAATCTGAACCGATGAAGAAAAACACCTCACCTTATGTCGTTTGTTTTCAGGCTGTAATTTTGTACTAGCGGCAGCTCAAGGGGAGATAAGTTCACCAGGGTATAGTCGAGGGAAATACCCCAATATTCTAGACTGTACGTGGTTAATTTCGTCTCAGTCCGGTACCCCACTGACTCTTCAGTTTAATTCTATATTTAGTATAGAACAGGATAAAGACTTCCTGAAGGTAAGCACCAAATTAAGCAAGTAAGTCTTATAGACAATGTTCTTTGTTTTTGACCGCTTTCTAGAACACCTGCTGCCTCTCTGGGGTAAGGTATATCACTTCCAACTAGGTATGGCATTTATTGAACGCGTATGCGAGTACACTGAACTAAAAATTCTCATCGTTGATTACAGGTATTTCGAAGTTCTTCTGAAAACGACCCAGCCCACTCTGGGGAAGGTTTTACAGGAGTTACTGTCCCTGCTTTGATCGTATCAGGAAGCGGTAGTTTGTTGATCAAGTTCACCACGAGTGCTTTAGGTCAAGCTAAAGGATTCATGGCCACATTTTCTGCTGGTAAGTAAAAGCTGTGCAACTCTTTGGAGGCGTCATAGGCTCTTGTCTCTTATGGATGCGTCTGAAAGGGCTCTCTACTGATCGACTGATGCCTTTTAATTGCCACTGTTGCGTTTAATATAACCGCTCGATTTGGTCATGATTTACCAATGTTACGGCTAATATGATCGTCTATTCTCCATCCCAATCGGGGAGTCCACATAGCGAATATCGTTTTGATTTTTTGAACAGTATCTTCATCGACGACATTGATAATATCTTGATACTTTCAGGGTGCAAAGGCTTACAGAGCCCATATGTACATGCGTTCCCGCACCATGCCACCTATCATCTGAATGAAGTACTAAATGTAACCTGTACTAAAAACCATATCTTCTCTAATGTTGCCTATCTGGGTTTGACCAGTGTCCTGCTGACATGTACTGCTGGTGGAAATTTTGATAAGGAAATACCCATCTGTTCTAGTAAGTATACCATCAACTTGTTTTCCCTCATTGCACATTGGGCTACATTGGTCACATCATAACCCATGTGTCTATTGTTCACTTCCGGCATGGTACCTTCAAGTTCCCTGCTTAATATTGCTCGAAGGAGCTGATACGGAAAAATCATTATTGTGGGACAATAAATCAAGAACATGTTGGGAAACAATGGGCTAAAATGCCGTTGTTCTGGCAAAATGCGCCGCATCCAACACTATATGGCATTGCCCATCTCCAGAAAACCAAACTAAGCAAGAAAATAAGATGTAAAACTCTATTTCATTTTAAGCGCAATTTCAATCCTTTTATTTATTGTAGAAACACTATGTGGACCAGCACCAGAAATACGTAATGGTTACATCAGATCCAGTAATGGAGTATATTCCGGCTCGACTGTTACCTATTCTTGTAACTTTGGGTACAATCTGACATCTAGTAGCACCATAACGTGTCAGAACTCTGGCCAATGGCCCATACCCTCTACTTGTCACGGTATGTTTTTTCGTCTTTCATAAAAGAATATACAGTCATCTAGTCTTCAAGAATTTGCTGGTGCTTGCAAAATGTCAGTTAACTAACTATGCCACTCACCATTTTGAAGTCGATTTATGCCAACATAGTATTTCTTTTTCTTCTTCATCGTATTTGTGTTATTCACTCAAGGTTAGGAGTACGTCGTATTATATTCGCAATTATACGCTATACAGTTATATGAGAAATATTATACATCTTGTGGATATAGACTTTGTGGATTATGATTAGATAAAGGTATGTCAGTTTACCTTGTGATTGTAATACTAAACTATTCATTGATGATTTTTTCAGCCGAATCCTGTCCCCCAGTACCTGATATATCAAATGGTAATAAAGCTGTTATCTATGGAGACGGGGTCAGCCAAGGGTCTGTGGTTAAATATACCTGTCAATCAACCTTCCAGATAGTTGGAGTCAACACTCGTACTTGCCAGAATGGAAAATGGTCAGCCGTTGCGCCTACTTGTCAACGTAAGCTCTTTTTCCACCAATCTACCTAAAACTTCGATTCCAAAATTCCACACTTAAGAATGACATGGAAAAATGTCAAGATGTTTTGATGGGGCATACATATATTCCCTGACTATTGGAAAAAAAATAGACTGATGCAACAGTTTCCTCATTGCACACTGCATGGTGATGCCACTTTTCATTAACCCGATTCAGCGTAAAAGAGACGTAAAACTCAATTTAAATTCAATTTTCAGGAATTCCATGCGGCTATACTAAAATAGAGAACGGGGTTATATCCGTGTTGACTCAGCCCTATCAAGGAGAACAAGTAACGTTAAGATGTAATACAGGATATCATATATCCAGTGGTAGTGATACATTCCCTTGTGGTGAAATACCCCCGCTCTGTGTCAGTAAGTATACTTGGTTATTCTGAGCCAAATCCAAATAAATTACTACAAGAGTTGTCAAGTTTTCTGTTCTGTCGGACAAAACAAGACTTCGGTGCATGTTTCTGAAAACCGCTCATCATCAGGACAGATTTATTTCGAAGAAAGCTACAGACATTCAACTATATCGACGGTCTTTTAAACCCAAATAAAACTGCGTCATCCCTGAACGAATCACCAAGATGTGTCTTGTTTTACAGATATCAATGAGTGTACATCAAGGACAGATAACTGTGTTAAATCACAGTGTAAAGATACAGATGGTAGTTTTGAATGTGTTTGTAATCCTGGTTATTATAAACCTTACAACGGGGCTAATACCTGTCAAGGTAAGCTCTGACAAATCGTTGTTACGGTTGAAGGCGATATACTACATAGCGTCACCTATTTATAAATAGAAAAGTAGGGTGCAAAACTTTTCATGTTCAATTGCACTGCATTTGCATACTGAGACATTTGCATACTGAGACATAACTGAACAAGAAAGAATGGTGTTCTGGTAAAATTTCCCCTACTGCACAATGTAATGCGTTGACAGTTTCTTTTTCCTCGATAAGGAGCAGAATGGAGAACATTTCTTCAAGCAAAACGAAATATAATGTGTAAAACTCTATTTCATTTTTTATTAATGTATAAACATGTGAGATGTTAATTATGCCCCTTGCTCTCTGTCATTGTTCCTGAATAATTTCCCTCATGATACACTGCATGGTATTGCCTCGTCTATATAAGACCAAATCGAGAGTAATAACTATTTTTCAAGTCCAATGAGTATGTTTAATGTTAAATTCAAAGTTTCCATTATTGTACACTGCATGTAGCGAGGAAAGTAGGGTGTAAAACTTCATTTATTTTGTTTAGATATAAACGAGTGTAATGTTAACAATGGTGGATGTGGCCAAATCTGTAACAATGTCGACGGTTCCTATACATGTAGCTGCTATGATAACAATGTTCTCTTTACCACCAATGGACAGAATGGGTATTTCGTCAGGTCTGGAGAAACTGGTACAGATTCCTGGAACTCTATGAGATTCCAACATACTTGTATTCGTAAGTATTGATCTTTAAATACTTTATGTATATATCCTTATAAACCCAATCAGGTGCAAAAAAGTAGGACGTTAAATTCCATTCATTTCATTTAAATGATTATGCTGGGAATTGGGATTGAAATTTGAAAAAGAGTATAGTTTAATGCCGCTGTTCTGTCAAAATTTTCCTAAATGCAAACTGCATGGTGTTGTCCATCTTCATTCGCCCAATCAGGTTTTCAAAAGTAGGACGAAAAAATCCAATAATTTAATTTCATTGTTTGAGAATTGGGAAAAGGATTTGTTAACTTCATTTTAATGCATAATGACTTTGCAATGTTGATTTTGTTTCATATTTTCAGCTGTGGAATGCCCTGTACCACCACGAAATATTGGTAACGGGAGATCAACAGTATCCAAACTACATTATCAAATTGGGGATCAGGTATCGTTTGTATGTAATATTGGTTATGTACCACAAGGCACTACAACCATCACCTGTCAATCAAATGGTAGTTGGGATTTCACACCACCACTGTGTTTAGGTAAATATCTTGGGAGTATTTTTCATTTGGTATTTTCTCGGGAACATTCTTGATTGCTCAAGTTGGTACCATCAAGAGCGAGCAGTAAAACGGGATGTTAAACTCCATTTCATTTAGATTGCCAATTCTTATTTTATGCGTCTTTTTCCAGATGCAACCTGTCCATATCCGGAAGTACCCAACAGTCCTAATGCAGTGAGTGTAACGCCGACCAACTCCATTCGTTACCTGGATGTCTTCACCCTAACCTGTCCTCTACCAACACAGTCTTCACAAGTCAGACCTTGCATTTACGACCAGGCTAATAGAGACTACAGAATTATGTCTGGTAGTCTTGAATGTCCAGGTAAAAGCATTAATCAATTTGGAAAATCAATTATTGACTTCGAATTTGGGAATAATGCATACATGCTAATGGATATACCAAAAAACATTATTAGATATGTTAACTCCCCGAAAGTGATGTCGAGTTGACAACCTAGTCACAGAATTACATCAGGCGTTCCTGTCAAGCAGACGAATTCGTATTTACTTGTGTTTTTGAAAATGCTACTTCATCCGAAGATGCCACCGACGTAGAATGACAAACCCGTTTGTTTTCGTATGCCTCATATATCCCTTTCTTTTCTCAGAGACAGACTGTGGCCGACCAGAACGTATTCCAGGATCTGATCCTTACTCCAATTCCTGTACAACATATGGCTGTTCCTTCAACTTCCGGTGCCGCACTCCTTGGTTCCAGGTGGCTGGTAGTAGCAGTAAGGGTAACACTGTAACTTGTGGAAGTGATGGTCATTGGGATTTTGGTGATCTTCGATGTCCTGGTGAGTATGCTGTGAATGAGAATTTTTTGGAAGGCAAATGGTCATTAATCAAAAAGACTTTGCTCTTTTCTATGACAAGCTTTTAATGTCGTTTCTGATTTAGAAAGAAACAATATCTCTTTACAAGGATAACTCAGGTTCACAGGATCCTATCAGTATCTACCAGATGGTCCTTGGCCAAACCTCTTGACATTGATCTTTCACGGATTATCCTTACTTAATTACTCTGAATGCGTTTTTTCAAAGTGTATCTTCATTGAATGGTGAATTTCTTCACAGGGCCAACTTGTACGGACCCTGGTACCCCAGCTGGTGGAAAACAGATCTATACAACTTACGAGGAGTACAGTCTAGTGTACTACAAATGTAATGAGAACAACCAGAAACCAGGATTCGAACCCTCGGCACAATATCCTTTAAAGTGTATCTGGAATTCGAATAGAAATGAATTAATGTGGAATGACACGACTCCTACATGTGTTGGTAAGTTGATCCCTTTTTTGCGGAACCTTACTGGCAACGGAAGTTTAATAATATGTTATCTCAGCTTACAAATCTGTCCAATCCTTGCCAACCATCATTAGCCAATTGAGGTATAGAAACCAGAAAAATCCTTTTCATTCGTCCAAATGTCACCTATGGCAGATATATCATTGTAAATACTCTCGCCAGTATTTTAATGGCATAATCCATAGAAGTAGATAAATACCAGAGTTTATAAACGATAGAACTACAATCCCCTTCCCCGATCTTCCATACCTATGTCAAATGGGGCCACCTTTGGTTACTCGCTGTCCTGGCAAAATTTCCCTCATTGCATCCTACATGGCGTTGCCCGTCTTCTTTAGTCCACATGGTGCAAAAAAGTAGGACGTGAAACTCCATTCATCTCATTTGGTTACTCGCGGTTTACCACCAGGCCCGTATAGTCAGACTTGATTGATCTCGAGGAGCAAGTAATACATCCAGACGGGCAATGGTATATGATGTTTAGTTGCAGAAATGGTCGGTTGTCAGAATTTGTTCAGGGGGTCAATTCCCTTACCACGGAAGTTCCAACATAGCGCATTGTCAATCATGTGTATCAATAGAACACCATGTGTCGGTGACAGTGAATCAGCTCTGTACAATTTTTGTAAATTTCAGACAGGACAGCTCCAGTTTTCTTCAACTGTCCAACAATGGATATCAAAGTTAGCAGAATGTCAACCTCAACCGTGGCAGAACCACAAATTACAGACAACTCTGGTGCCATACAGTCCTTAAGGATTTACCCAGACAAGTTCTCCGTGAACCACGTGATCAAGTCGGACGAGTCTGTACGGTATGAGGCGACAGACCACAGCGGTAATACTGGATTCTGCGCATTTAACATCAAACTTAAAGGTGAGTCGACTCTCTCAGCTATTCTTCGTTGTAAACTGACTGGCGTTGTGTGCCTAAATTAGTCCAAGCAAGCTCAGTATGACAAGACGTAAAACTTCTCCATTGCACACCGAGAAGCGTTGTTCGAATTATTTGATTCAGGAATGAAAAGGTTAAAATTCTATTTTATTTATTTCCAGATGAGCAGAAACCAGTTATTAAATGTAGAGATTCATTCGGCATCAATTTTTTCAACGAAAACGATTTTAGGTCCTTCGATGTGAACTCTTTGATAATATCAGCGTCGGACGATTCGGGTAATGTGGACGTAACTGGGTCTGTAGATATCATCCGGTTAGATAGAAACAGTATCGGCAAGACGTATACAAATACGATTACAGCTACGGATCCAAGCGGAAATACTGCGTCCTGTATCATTCAAGTTACCGCAACAGGTATGTCATCCTTTTCTCTTTGGTTCATCAAATACAAATACGGAAGGGTCGCTCGGCTCATCAAATATTTGGCCTCTAACCTGAAATCTTTAATTTTCCATCCCTTGTTCCTCTTTGTAATTGATTCTGCTCCGAGGGCTTTTGATAGTTCGTGCAGTTGTTCGGCCTAGTAATTAACCAAGTGAAGCAAATAAGTTTTCTTTTAAGATCAAGCACATTAATTCTTATCAATGCCAGTACATGTACTTAAGTAAGTCCAATATGTCAGTGCACATATTTATTTTCAGCTGACAAATGTCGACCATGGACTCTTCAAATACAGAATGGTGGCAAAAACTGTAACTCAAAGAGCGGTGGAGGATATATCTGTACAGTTACATGTAATAACGGCTATGTATTTTATGATAATACTGCTCAGAGCTCAGTTGATATATCCTGTGATCCCAACGGCGACTGGTCCAGAGAAGTTCCGGTTTGTGTTGGTAAGTGATTAGGCCTACTTGTGGGAAATGAATATTTGCGGAGCAATTTCACTTATGCAAGAAATGATCAGAATCAGTAAACAGTAATGTCGGTGGGAAATTCAAGTGTTTCTAAACGCAGATGCCATTTCCGTTGCCAAAAGTCGAGAACATGCTAATAATACCTCAACAGTTTGTTATCCATCCCAAATACTTCATTTTTCGTGAGAACAGAAAAGTAGGACGTAAAACTCGATGTCATTTATCTTTCAGCTGTAGAATCATCAATCTATGAGCTAGCCATCAGGGTTACCTACGTCACGGATTCTAACATCAAAGACTACTGTCCTGATAATTATCAAAAAGAGCTGACTGGTAAAATGCCCAGTCTTGTGTCCAGTCTGAGCTCTCGGTGTCAGTCTTTATCACCATCTATCAGGGTAGAAGCTGGAAGAAGCACCACCATACAGAACTTTAACTCTGGGGTGAGTATACGGAGTTGAAGCATAGGTTTATGTAGCACGCATACTAGTGATATAGATAACTGCTTGCTCCGATTTGGTTACTGTTGTTCTTTGGACGTCCATTCTAATGATGGTCTATTGTGACCAGCTACAGAAGAGCCCAAGATAATCCTTCTCCCACATTCATCTGTTTTGAGGATGCCTTCTGATTATAGATGGGTAACTTCATATTTTCCAAAAAAATCCACGTGTACTTGCCATGGTAGATTTGATCATTGTACTTGATCTCTTTCAACTGTTATCCAATTTGAATTCGGACCATCCATCAGCACCTCGTATCGAATAGAATGCAAACAGTTCCTTACATAATTTTTCATACTATTTAGGTCTATGCTATATTCTACTTCAATCTGGAGCCGAGGGATTACGATTCGTCCACATATTCAAACTGCGTGAACCTTATTCGTCAAGCTTTCATAGACCAGTCCCAAACCGTCTCGGCAGTACGGCAGTTATCCGTCAATCCCAATATAGGATGTCCAGGTTCGCAGGCTGGTACATACCAGACTATAGTCAACGATGGTTTTACTTGTAATGTCAATGAAGAAGTACGACAGATTAGTCAAGACTACACAGGTTGTGGTAAGTGTACACCTGGTATTCAACAACTAATATAATTTTATTGAAAGGTGTGGATAATTGGTGCCGCTTGGTTACAATCCGCCGTGGTTAGATCATCACATTTGGATCCATGTTGATACCAAGGTTCCCTATCCCGTGTCCATTTACTAAGTTCGCAAGGAGCAGCCAAATGTTGCATCTAATTGACTAAAGCTCATCTCATGCTACTTGCACTTTTCTTTAAACAATTATCATTAGGACGTATAGTTTTGGAAATGGAGATTTGCCATTTTCTTGTTTACTCTTAACCCCTCTCAGTTGATTTTTAGTAGTTATTCCTCAGAAGCAATTGTAACGATCCATTTCAGTGACCTGCCCATTAGGTTATTATAGTACAGATGGAAGATTATGTATCAAATGTTTACCAGGATTCTACCGAGATCAGAATTTACAGAGTTGTGTCCCTTGTTTATCTAACTCACGGAATCAAACCGAGGGAGCTAGTAGTATACATGAGTGTTACAGTAAGTTTATGTTTTGACACCTTCACTTATCTGCCATTTGCTCTTGCACAAACTTCGAGAATCGAAATGTTTTTGAAAATGTAAGAGTTCGCATAGCTAATATTGATAGTGTTATTTCAGGTTATACCCCTTTTATCTTGTAACTTTAACATCGTAAAAGATCATTCCTAATCGTATTAGCAAAATCGCGCGGGTTAGAATGGGTGCGCATTATATTCGCAATTATACGGTACCTGGTATTCCTTATTTTTATTTCGTGTATATTGTTTGTAGGTTTGTGTCCAATGGGAATGAATTCTAATTCTGGTCGGTCACCTTGTAGCCAATGTCGAGAAAATTCTTACAGTCAGGATGAGAGGACTTGTAGACAGTGTCCTCCTAATACCTTCACACCTGGAAGAGGTGCTGCTTCTGTAGATGATTGTAGAGGTAGGTTCTCTGTTTGTATGACTCTTCTGTCATCAGGACTTTTGTGAACTGGGCATGTGTGGATCACCTCTGTACCACCTCTGTGTATGACGTGCTTGTGAGTGTGACACTGATGTCAATTTAAGGTTCTGGTTCAACTCAGAAGGTCCGATTGCAACCCTGAAAGATCAGGATGCCAAAATTAGTAATTTCAATTCTTCGCTTGTTTTTATGTAAATACAATCATTTGCATCACTCGTAATTATTAAATCTAGCAATTTCGCCTTTTTGTGGTAAAAGTTTTCACTTTAACAACCGTGTATTTTCATTACTGTCATCTGTTTTAGGTATTTGTCAACCAGGGTATTATTCCACTACTGGTTTTGAACCCTGTCAAGTCTGTCCTAGAGGATTCTTCCAATCTAATACCAGATCAACCACCTGTTTTGAGTGTTCTTTGGACCAGACTACTTTCAATACGGCATCAACATCCAGTTCCCAGTGCACACTTACAGGTAAAGCATTACGATTAGTTTTTGCAACTTTCAAAGCACCTGTTGCCAACCTTGCATTGTTGCTCCAATATTTTTAGGATCATTTTCTGTCGTAAATGGGCCAGTGTACGAGAATATGGTCTTCAACTCAAATTATCTGGATTTTTCATCTTGATTCTTGGTTGCAAAATATTAGTGGTCAAATGAGTATGTGATAAATGTTGCTGTTCTTTATTTTCAGTTGATATAGATTGCCAGAATGGTGTATGCCAGAATGGAGGAACTTGTTTAGTAGAGAAACATCAGTACTACTGTCGCTGTACCTCTGGTAAGGCTATAGCTAATGGATCTTCTAGACGTAAGGTTCAGCATGAGTCATCTATGCATCATGCATGTACAAGGAGTTCCGATTGTTACGGTGTTGTTCTATATTTAAATCTTTTCGGACTAAGCTGACGAAACCATAGTGTAAACTGATTGCACATTGTGCTTGGCATATTCAGCTTTCGTTACACATTAAGCATCTGGAATCTTCATTAATCGCTTTGAGGACTTACGGAGCTGTATAAGCACAATGAATCTGACCTTGTTTTCAACCTCAAATTAGTACTAATTTTATGGAAAACCTATACAGTATATTTGCGTGTATAATGCGCAGATTTTAACGATAAGGTACTCAGAATGATTACTCAGTTACTGTTTTATTCTGTTGTAACCAGATTGATTACGATTGTAGGTTATACCGGTAAGAACTGTGAAACACCAATCAGAGCTTGTGATTCCAGTCCTTGTTTTAATGATGGAGTTTGCAGTAACAATGATGATGGTTCTTTTACCTGCTTCTGTAATCAAGGTAAGCTTCTTATTAAACCTTCAAATGAGCAACTTGAAGTAATGCGCCTCAGTGATGACGTTATGTAAACCTTCGACACGGTGTCAAAAGGATCGTCAATTGCTCAACCTAATCCTTAAAGCAAAATGTTTTTAATTATTTCCTTTTTGTGTGGAAAACGTATCTTAATGCAAATCTCTGACCAATCATTGGTATCTTTCATATTTTTTAAGTTTCGTGACTCAATTCGAAACAATTCGATTAACATCCATTCGAATATTTCAGGTCGTTTTTCTGGAGGTCGATGTGAGAATGATATAAACGACTGTAGTATTAACTCGTGTTTAAATAACGGATCTTGCTACGATGATATAGGATCATTCTCTTGTGTTTGTCCAATCTTCAGTGGCTTCACTGGTGGCAGGTAAGCACATTTGAGAATTGCTTATTGGTAGGAAAAAGATCACTCAAAGTTTGTATCACATACTGGCTCTTTGTGAACAAATGATGCCTGATTTATTTTATTTGGGGCTTGTGATTACTTAATAGTTGTTCTGAGTTATGAAAGTGGATGGTCCGACATGTGGGATATATGACTATAGTGATGCTTATTTCATCGTTTCAGTTGTCAAAGATCACGAGATGTGTGCAGCGAACAGCCCTGTCAGAACAGTGGACAATGTATAGCCTCTGGTAATATCCGACGAAAGTGTGTTTGTCAGTTGGGCTATACTGGCGACAATTGCGAAGCCCAGATCAGTAAGTATTATGTGAGGAAGTCAGGGATTATTACTGAGCAGGATTCATTCAAAAGATAGCAAAGCTTTATTGCTCTTTTTTAAGTCAATCCTTCTTCAAGGGGAAGAAACCATTATCTGACTAGCAGGGAAGTAACTCTTGTTAAGAAAGATCTTATCCAGACCACAATATTACCGTACAAACTAGAGCTCAAGACATGCTTGAGTGGATTAATCTCAGTAGAAGGGCACTGGATGATCTGTACTGCTTGACACGATGGATCACAAGGTAGAATTTCCAAAATAAAGGTGCCAGTCTTCTACATTAACATAAAACAGAGCTTTTAAATGCGTTATATCTGATGATATCACTTGCTACTCGAAGGTTATAAGAGCTAAATTGTATCCTGTTATATTGTAATTTCAGATGAATGTAGCTCTTCTCCATGTCGCAATAGGGGGACCTGTATAGATCAACAGAACAGATATGAATGTCGCTGTATGCAGGGTTATACTGGTAGTAATTGTGAGATACTATCCGATCCTTGTTCAACGTTCGTCTGCAACAATGGCGACTGTCTCTATAATTACCAAACAGCAACCACTGACTGCGTCTGTTTCTATGGTTACGAAAAAGGTTTGTGGTATTATGTCTTTAACATTTGATGTTTCGGAATCTGAAACAACATTGTTGATCATTTGATCATGTTAATATTTTTTTAGAATCAGAAGATCAGTTGTTACAGAAGAGCAGATCTTTAATTTGTAAACCAACTTTTTGAAATTGACACGTATCGGTGCCAACCCGTTGATTTTAAGATCCGGAGACGGTCCCTTTTCTTACTTTTTTTATATTCCATTTGTGCTATTTCTCAATATAAAATTGCAGAGGACTTTAATTTACCTGTAAGATGATAATCAAACTATGTTTGAATCTTTTCAGTGAACGGACAATGTCAAGCAATCAATCCGTGTCAAAGTTCACCATGTAAAAATGGTGGAACCTGTCGCCCTGGTAACTCGACCTATACATGTGACTGTTTGGCCGGGTATGAAGGGACCCAGTGTCAACAGAATCGAGATGACTGTGCGTCCTCGCCGTGTAAAAATGGAGCGACCTGTGTTGATCAACTCAATGACTATCGATGTGAATGTGATATCAATAAACCAGATACCAGAGGTTAGTTATGTGATGAAGTGGATGAAGATGGATTGATTCATCTCATAAGGATATCAGAAATTTCGTATTTGATGCCAACGATCGTAAAAGTCTCATCTTCGCTCTAATTCTTTATTCTTATTTACTTACTATTTAGGAGTCAGAAAGGGCCGCAATGCTGCAATTTTAGGAAATTTCTTCGACCTCCATAAAATCTGCATGCGAATATCTATTCCGAGACCTTTTATCCATAAACTTTTCAATCCAGGACTTGTTATCCATAATATCCGACCCAGGACTATAATTATCCATGAAATATCCAATGCAGGACATGTTATCCGTACACTTTCCTATCCATAAATCTTCCAATTGAAGACTTAACCACAAATGTTCTTTCATTTTCCAGGTAAGAACTGCGAGGACCAGGTAAACAGCTGTTCATCAAATCCTTGTAAGGGCAATAACACAAAAAGCTGCACGGACCATCTCGGGTATTACGAGTGTGATTGTTATAATGGATACAGTGGACTGAATTGTCAGGTAAGGAAGATGCTGGTGGACAAGACTGTCCCAGAGTTTGTTCTTCTACCCCAGAAGCATTAAGCTCCTGAGTCAAAGTCCAAAAAACATGTGAAAAACTCCTGTCCCCTAGTATGAACAAGCCTGTCCAGAAGATATTTTTTCTACCAAGATTAAGCATTAAGCGACCGAGCCTGTCCAAGAGATCATTTTTCTACCCCAGAAGCTTTAAGCTCCTAAGTCCAAGTTCACTGTCTTCAAAAAGGTGCAGGTGGCATAGGACGGAAGACCTCATCCATTTCATTTATTTTCATTTATTTTCATTTTTTAGTCCATGTAAAAAATACATTATTGATTTTCATTTGGTGGGTGTCGTCATTTGAATGGTATTGCATTTTTCTATTTTTATCTTTCAGGATCTGGTCAATCATTGTGCCAGTTATCCCTGCTTACATGGTGGCTCCTGTACCAATATCTTTGGAGGCTATAAGTGTTTGTGTACGGCTACGTATACTGGTAGTAGATGCGAGAGGGCCACTGATTTCTGTACACAAGAATCGTGTCGTAATGGTGGTCAATGTATCAGTACAGATACTGGATATGTCTGCAGGTCGGTTCATTTTCAGCTTGATGTATTGTTAACCAGAATGTACGTCACAATCTTTTAAATTGCAAAGATACACTTTCTTATCAAATTCAAGTACAACAGGTCTCATCAAAATAATTATATTGCCGTCCTTGGAATATCTTAAATATTGTCCAAGTGATTTCAATTTTTTCCACCAGCGTTCTTTCTTGATGGCTACTCTCAGAATGGTTCATACATTTCGGGACAATTATTTCTTCAGTATCTAAACATCCAGAATAAAATGCTACTTCTACACATCCTACCTCGGCCAATCCTACCCAGTCTATGACAATAATAGATAATTTAATATTTATTTCAGTTGTAAGAACGGTTTTAAAGGACAGTTTTGTGAGAATACTTATGATCTGTGTTCTAAAGCCAACCCTTGTGTTGGAACTGGTAGTATCTGTTCTTACGATGGTACCAGATTCACCTGTCAATGCTCAGGAGGTAGGTATTGTATTGTTCAATTCTAGATGTCTTTGAAAGAGTCACTCTGTAAATTACTCATTTGACTTTGTAAATCGTTCCAAAGAATCAGCCTGCTCCTAAGCTTGCAGCTTTCCTGTGATTCCCTAATAGGCTTAATCCTGATTTTTTTTTGTCGTGTTTCAATTTCAGGTTATACAGGGGATTACTGTGAGTTCAGAAACAACGTCTGCTCCGATTCCAGATGTCTCCATGGTGGAACGTGCCTCGAGGTCGGAGGTCAACCTCAATGCCAGTGTGCTAGTGGTAAGAAGCTGTATCTTGCTTTTTGGGTTTTTTTTATTGATCATCCTGGGTCCAAGTCCATTGATTGGATATTTTTCAAATTTTTACGTTTTTTTGGTGTAAAAAAACTACTTTAAGTTAATAAGCGGATTTAAGAAAAATAAACGCCACATTGTAGAGAAATATGTCTCCTACGTGTTCCTGAGGTTTCAACTAAAAATATCGAGTCTTTATGAGGCCCAACACCAAAACTCGTTTAAGCTGATCTCTTAACATTTACATGCAAGCTTAATTCATTTTTTATTTAACTTTTTCAATACAAATATAGATATAAATGACATATTTTAGAAATATTTCCAGGTATAATTTTTTGATAATGAAAATTGTCCATACGTTGACCTTGTTATTATCAACAATTTTATTTTTATGGGCTCCGGTTGCACTTGTGGAGGAGTAAAATAACACAGTGAATTTCAATACAAGTTCCTTGTTTACATAAAATACAGCATCTATTAACAATGTTTACATAATAAGATTATTCAGTATTGAAGTTGGCGAATCGGCGAATTACAAACACCAGCATGAATAACATAATACAGAACCATATTTGGACTTGGGCTCATTAATATTCATGAAAGCAAGAGGATTTGCCGCCAAAATGGCTTATACATATTAATGAGGGAAATAACCTAAACGTCATAGCCTATAGACTCAATTCAGCCATTTCGATAACTTGACTAAGTTATCAAATAATTAACACTGCCAACACGAATTCGTATTCTAAACATAAACATGGATGACTAATGCACATTCTGAGACATGATCAATACAAATAAAAGTTAAACTTTACCTGTGAAAGAGAACAATTTCAATACAAGATCCTTTTTTAACACAGCATAAAATACAAAATGAATCTCCAAAGCAGAAGATTATTACCTCCCTTTACCGGTTAACCATATGCTTCAGACCACAGCAATATCCAGAAATTTATGTACCTCTCTCACCTATACACGGTAACACATCCTGCCCTTTTGATGCACGACAACCGTTTAAATACAGTATGTCCCTTTAATGTTATTTGTATTTACAGGCTATACAGGATCATTATGTGAGACCAACATCAACGACTGTACCACTACATCTTGTGGACAAGGTGCCCAGTGTATTGATGGTGTCAATACCTTTACTTGTGAATGTGAATCGGGCAAGATTGGTCGCAACTGTGATAAAGGTACGTGTTTTTCTCGATCCAATCGACTTCTTACTCCTATTAGTTCAGTGTGTAAGCGCTCTTTGTTATACCACCTTTTCCAAAACTAGCTGTCCTGATGAGGATTTTGCATCCAAGTATGATTTGACACTCAAATTCTTCTTAAATATTCTGATCTGAGCTATGTTTGGATTCTTTGTCATAGCTGTCTAGCTAAATATTTGCTTTGCTACCTGATGGGGCTCAACTATCCGTAACCCTTTTCAGAATTGAAATTTGATCTCAGGCTCACTACAATTAACTATTTACTTTCAGACTTGACGTATGATTTTGATATGACGTTATCCAAATCAGGGCAGTTTTTGGCATCTGATTATTTTATCCTACCCCAGAGACTACAGTCTACTACTATGTTTAGTTTATCGTTCTGGGTGAGGTATTCTAAATCAACAGATCCTGGTCTCATCCTGACCATGTATGGAACGAGGTAAGATTTATATTTCAAAAATTGTTGTCATGCTCTTCTGTAGTTCAGAGCGGTACAGACTGGATAGGACTTATGTATTGTACGTTGGATATATAACATATTTTATTCATTGAAGTTCAAAACTATACAACAGTTAGATTTCTTAGATTTACTCAATAAGACGAGATACGCGATATATTCGCAATTATACGGTATGAAATAAATAATATAGTTGAATTGTCATCTTATTAGTAACCACATTACTGTGGCCATTGTTTTTTCAGATCTCAAGACAAACTGGCTGAATCTTTCGAGATATTGAGGATAGTTCGAGATAAAGTTACAGCTTATATCGGAAACACCCAGTCCATATCTTACAGTGAAGCTGATATAGATGATGGGAAATGGCATCATGTGGTGGTAACATGGGACGGGACCTTCCCACTGCTAACTCTATATATAGACAATACGGAAGTTGAAGCTTTGAATTATGTGCTGAATCCACCTTTACCTACTTAGTAAGTATTAGGTCAAAGCTTTGTCTTTCATTGTCACTTGATTCTGGTGCGACAAATAGACGAAACTCCGATTTTAACTCGTGGGAAACCTCTGTGATACTGGTCGGAGAGGCTGTCCTGGCCAAATTTCCTGTATTATTCACTGCATTGGGCTACATGTCTATATAGTAGAACGTAAACCTCCATTCTATGTTACCCGTCTTCATTTGCTCACATGGTGCAGAAAAGTAGGACGTAAAACTCCATTCATTTCATTTCCATTCTATGTTATTCCTATCCAAATTGTGATATTCTATTTACAGTATATGGTTTGTTCTTGGAGGAACTTACGATGTAACAACCAACAAAATAGATCAATCCAAGTCTATGATTGGTCGAATGAGCCGTCTTTTCGTGACGCCATCTGTATTGTCGGCTGCTGATAGGCTCTCCTTGTCGTATGCTCTAAGCTTCGTTCCCGCCAATCATATTCAAGGCTTCACAGTCGGGATGTTGGATGGCGTCAATGCTTTGGTGGATCATAACAGCGAGTTGAATCCATCTGGTTGCTATAGAAACAAAACCTGTCCTCCCTTATTATCAGGTTAGTTCCTTTATTTTCATAACATTCATAACATATTTGTCGGAACCAAACATTATCGGAAAGCCATTACAACGTTTTTTCGGAAATTCCACATATTGGGAATATCAGGGGTCCATGTGCTACAGGTCTACGAATCGAAAAAAACAGTAGACGCAGCTGTCCTGGGAGAAAGCCTGATTTGGACATAATTATAGGGCGTAGAACAAAATTTTATTTGGGAAAGTCCTAGTTCAGTCTGGAGAAGAGTGGGACATGAAACTTTTGAAATGAAATGATAATAATGATTTTTGGATCAATTTATTTCAGCTGGTTCTAAAGCTAGCGTTTCAGTATGTCCGTCTGATATGATGACGGTATCAGCCAGAGTCAGTAGACCAACATGGCCTCAACCCATCTTCACCAATACTGACGTCATCAGGACTAACTATATCTCCGGTGGTAAGTTAATATTTTGAATATATTTGACATAAGCTTTATATTTTCAGATGTTCACATAAAAGTTAAATCGCTGCCTCGTGCTTTATTCTGCATAGAAGTTTTAATGCTTATTTAATTTCTTTTCGAGATGAAATGAATTTTCCATGAACACTAGACCAAAGTACATTTGAACATATTTTGTTATTCGCATCCCCTTAAAATTCATTTTGTCATCCTACAAAGACTAAACTGATCAGAGAGGTCGGACCCTCAGCAGATCAGGCCTTATAACTCATGCGTGGAAAATAAGAGTTTTAACCATCTCATGAAGACGGGTAAGATAGAATGGAGTTTTACGTTCTACTATATAGACATGCAACCCCATGCAGTCTATTCATACCGTATAATTGCGAATATATCGCGTATCTCGTCTTATTGAGTAAATCTAAGAAATATAACTGTTGTATAGTTTTGAACTTCAATGAATAAAATATGTTATATATCCAACGTACAATACATAAGTCCTATCCAGTCTGTACCGCTCTGAACTACAGAAGAGCATGACAACAATTCATGGAGTTTTAACCATCTCATTTTTTTTTGTCAGGTGAACCCATGTCGTGGAAGACTTACTCTATAGCGTTTGGTGGATATGATACTCAAGGCAATGCTGATGTCTGTTCTTATAATCTTTACAATAGAAGTATGTTTACCTATTTACTTTCAGAGTTTAACCAGAGTGTTTTTACATCTCCATTGGGCTTCAATGATGCAGAAAAATAGAACGTAAAACTCCTTACATTCCAATTCCACTGGGCTCCATTAATTCTTTTCAGTCAGACAGAATGGCCTTCTTCAGAATGCATAAAAGAATTGCAAAGTGGTGGAGACACAAAATTGCTCCGATGTTGGCTCTCTTCCTATTCTGCCCTTTTACATTATTTTTATTCAATGTTTTATTTCTGGAGTATTCTATTATTTCATTTGTTCCCTGCAATGAATAATATATCTCCCTTTCGTACAGGAGCGGCATGTCCAGTACCAAAGAAGCCACTGCTAGGTACTATCAACTGTGTGTCTATCCAGGCTGGTGTAAGGTGTACAGTAACTTGTGGAGAGAACCAACGTCTAGCCGAACCTACCCCTGTATACTATAGCTGTGGATTTTTCAACGCCTATAATGAGAATATCCTAACGTATAGATATCCCTCGTGTACTTGTAAGTAAATCAAAAGAATATAGAAATAAAGGAATCGGTAGTTAAATTTAATGATATACACACTCGAACCTAGAGATCACAGTCAAAATCAAGATCTTGAAAAAGTTACTGACAAAATAGGATAGCAGAAATCAGAAAGTTCACATGCTTTTGAAAAGCTTAAACGCATCGAGTATGAGAAAAAAGTAGTGCTTCCGGGAATTTCTTTGTAAAGCGCATTATAAAAAGCATTAGCTCAATACGGTATTGCATTTGGAGTACATTTCCTGATATCGGACGAATAAAACCAACTCTTCCTTTCTTTTCAGCTTGTGAAGCCCCAAAATTGGACGTCGAAATATCAATGACCTTTGACCTTCAAGCATCTTGCACATCTATTGGTGAGAGTGTCATTGCATCCGGAGTTCGATCTAGCCTGAACGATCTTAACACACGCCTGAACCAGCAACTTTGTGGTGGAAACGACTGCTCCAGTATCAGTATTAGTGCTAGGTGCAGCATCGTTGGCCAAGACGTGAATATCGTTGTCAGAATGTTCTCTTTGAGGTAAGATATCTAATTCTTTCTGAAATTCCTGGAATCACGATGATTATATACAATTGTTGAACGAGAGTTATTGCCCTTGATACAAACAGTAATAGATGTTACTTGTATTTATTGCCCATATTTTAAACAATATTATGTATTTGTAGATCGACCATGACAGTTAACCGTTTACCAGTGTCTACAGCTAATGTTCTAGCCTCGTCAATAATAGATGATACTGCTATCACTGTCAATGTAAGTTTAATGCTCCATTTCTTTGAATTTTCACACGTTCCATATGATTCCTTCCGTACGTAATCCCATGTTATGCTTACACTAGAGTTTAGAAGAATTGAAATCCATGGGTAAAATCCATAATGGCACAGAATTTTCTTTGTCTACCCCATCGTAGAAACGACTCTTCATAATGCTATCACTGTCAATGGAATTTTAATGCTCCATTTGTTTGAATTTTCACACCTTTCATATGATTTATATTTATTTCAGCTCGGTACGCTGGATAGAATGAGTTATGATTTACAGTCGACCAGAATCTGTGAAGTGGGAAGACAATTAGTGAGTGACTGCTGTGGTAAGTCTAACTAACCCCAGGTTACCTCCCTTCCATCAACTCTTATGTCGTCCACAGTATATCAGAACATAGAGACACTAATTCATTGCATATTTCAATTTTCCAATAGTAAGTGTGCCTAAGTGTCTACTTGATAACGATTTTGTACTGATTATGGAGTTTTCAAGCATTGTTTCACCTTTGCAGTCTAAATGTACGTTATAATCTGCACTTAATCAATTCAATTTCTGGTTTTCAACACTTTTGATTTTTCGGACGGTTATTGGCATGTAATTTAATTATTTGAATTTTATACTGATATGACCAAGAATTATTCAGCATTCAATACCTCTGTAAAGAAATTTACAAAATCAAACCCAGTTTTATGCCTTCCTATCAGTTTTTTTTATTTTGTTGTTTTAGCTGAATGTGGTTTTGGTACATACTACGATACAAGCAGATCAACGTGTGTACAGTGTCAGCGTGGAACATATCTAGATACTAAAGGAGTTATCTTCACCAGTACAGCAGAAGTTGCCTCCCCTTGTAAAGCCTGTCCAGGTGGAATGACCACAGCCTTAACTGGTTCTCAGACAGTCGATGAGTGTAAAGGTAGGTTTTGAATTACATTTATGTTTATTGGTGTTTTTGGAGATGTAAATGATATTATGATGTTTGGTGATCTCATAAAAGCACTGGTCAAGGTCACAATGTAAAAGTTCATGATGAAAATAAAGTGCAAGCTCAGGTTAAGGAAAACAGATATGGAAATAACATTGTGGTGTGACTGCATGTTTACATTTTACAAATCTTAGAAAAATATAGTAAACAAAATACTGCATGCAATATTAAGAACAAAAAAAAATGGGACATCTTGCTTGTCATCTCATGAAATTGTGTTTCCCATCAAGCTAAATGAACTATACTGCATGAACTGACTGTTAACGGGTTTGTATAGGTTGAATCACTTTTTAAGCATGAAAAGAAAGAAATCACTGCCGCCAATGATTGCATGTTAAATTTGCATGTCACCGTAAAATATTTGTGATTTTTTCTGAAGATCCACGTGACCTGCCTACGGATGACACATATATACCTGTTGGTAAGATATGGTAGAATTTAGCCTTTTGATATTTTTCTTTTTTAGATTAGAAATGATTTTCTATCCATTTTGTTATTGTGATTTTGATTTTGGTTTTATAGATTTAAAGATTTAAGAAATATTGATTGAGATTGCTAGCAAACTTTAATTGGCTCTTTCAGAATATCATTTTGTTTTTGTTTTGACGTTAAAGATTTGGGTTTTTTTACACAGCACAAATGCTTCTTTAGAAGTAGAACATTCTTTTATTTTTCAGCACTTGAGCTTTTTTGTGTTAGAAATCTTCTTTGAATGGGTTTATCTAAAGAATGCCCTTTAGGGGGTAGGATGGGGATATGTTTCATATTTTTATTTGCTTGGTAGTAAGGATCAATCATGCTCTCCTTAGTATACTTCCCCATGCAGATTTGTATAACTATTTGACGACTTTGTCACTATTGGACAGAAGAAACACTTTAAGTACCTATTTGGTGTCGCGGTAGCTCAACAAATTAGATTTTGGCATAGGTCAAAATGATAGCTTGACATTGTAAAAGGCTAGTTGTTTTGATGAGACATTAAGTATGTGTAACAGCTTGGGAACGGTGTTGCCAGTTTATAAGTCTTATCGAAAATTAGGTACTGAACACCACACCTTACATGTTTTCACGATGCTCTCTCTTTACTATCTTACACATTTATCAATTTATTTTTTATTGATTACAGATTCGTGTTCACCAGGACGGTTCTACAATCTAACTATAGGACGATGTGAAGATTGCCCTGCAGGCTACTTTCAGGAAACTGCCGGTACCTTCTTCTGTCAACCATGTTCCATTACCAGTACTACCGCTAATAACGGTTCCATGTCTTCCTCCGATTGTGTCTGTAAGTCATTTATTTCTTACCTCAGTCTTAAAGTTATTGATCACCGAATGGTAAGCTAGTCATTCAGTCAGTCAGTCCTGCCAATGCCTTACAAGATAGGATGACAAGTACAACTGATATGTAGAGACGAACCCTTGTCTTACCTCAAATAGAACAATTACTATAACAAGGCAATTAGGCGCCGTAGGTTCGAAAATGGACGGATGTCACTTCCATTACCTTCCAAGACTCTTTTGGGCATTTATCATTTTGGATGCTATGCTTTTCCAGTTTCAAAACATTTAAAAGTATTTCTTTGTAATTACAGTAGCCTCATCCATTGCACCAGAAACCACTACTCCTCTGTCAGAGGGTACTGATTGTAAGTATCTTATCAATATGTTAAGAAGTAGCGGGTGTCCCTAGGCCATTCAGAGCATGCTCACTCTTCTAGAACACAGAATGCCACTCTACAACTTGGTTTGTAGGACTGCACCGAGGGGCGTATCTAGAAAATTCATGAGGAGGGGGACACAAATAATAGATGTCGGGCGAGGCCCGAGTGACCTGGTCTGCCCTTGTCCCCCCAAGAAGTCAATGGGTTGCATGAGGCCTGAGATGAATTTGGAGCATTGGGGTGGGATGGGGGGAAGGGGGGGACTATGAACTATGGAGAGACAACAGCTGATTAAAATTCGTATCAAAATGGGGACTTGTTGAATAATATTTGAGCACTCCTTTGATGAACTGTTACATTGAATATTCAGTCAAGTCGTCTGTATACCAGAAACAAATTAAACTTTGAAAACTGTAAAATGAGAGATTTAAACGGTATACTATTGAACAATAAGTTGCTTTCTTGATCTAATGATCTAAAGGCTCATTGAATATTAATTCAGAACTCTTCTTAGTAACACAAATATTAAAAGTGTAAAGTGAAAACTGACTACTTCCCCCATTGAACCCCAAGTTGTAAAATGGTTACACGGTCTATGAATAAATGAAAAAGAAATAGTATCAAGATATAAAGAAAGAGAAATGGTTTATTTACTATGTTACCAGGTATCTATTGAACTGAAGGTTATGTGTTTATGTCTATTATAGTTTTGAATAGCTCTAGAAAATAAGATCGTATTGATCTCTGGTTTAGACTCGATCACTATATATAATTCACCTCTTTAGATCGAAGTGGGCCATTATAATCGGCGTATATTGAAATTGATTTTTATAGGCCTAGTCTTGCACTTTAAGGACAAAGGCCATGGCCATTGCATAGTTTTTTGTTATGTGAATACTAGATATGTGAAATTAAGAATTTGGCTTATTTGGACTCTTGATAGTGTCACGATTTTGTTAATTCAATGTGCCTTATATGATCACGTTTACTCCCGATTGATAGGTTTACGTTTGCTGTCAATGTGCCTGAACATGTAGGAGTTTAGATCTGTGCAGTATTTAGTTCAAATATTCGGAATATCTGAAGTGTTGTAAAGAATCGTTTTAAATTGAAGTTTGCTATTAACCGCTATAACCACAGAAAACTGTCATTGATCAAAACACAGCCTGCTTGCTAGTTGAACACGATATATATATATATATATAATGGTTGTGTTAGTATTATAAGGATTTGATATTTAACTGTTAAGCTAAGTGATATGGTAAACTAATTAACGTGTATCTGACTTGCCATTCATCTTTTAAGTATTCTGCTTGAGTGATATAAGGAATGGGTGAGTGGGGAGTTATGGTTTATGGGAAATATTTATCCTATATGTATATCCTTCACAAGGGGTTGCTCACTTGACCTTTCCTCCCAATTCAAACAGCATAAAAAGTTTTATTCAAATGAATTGATTTAATACTTAAAACATTTAGGTTAGGGTATAATAGTGCACAGCAGTTCATGTTGAATTCTCTCTGAGTATAGTACAGTGTAATATAAAACTGTATTTCATTAGCTCTATAAGGAGGAGGACGTAGTTTGGTATTTCATTGACTTTATAAGAGGTATAAAACTGTACATATCTGTATTTCATTGGCTCTTTCATGAGATGGACGTAAATCTGTGTTCCATAAGCTCTATCAGTAGGACGTTTTATAGGGAGTAGTATGTAAAGCTGTATGTCTTACGCTCTATAAGGGATAGGAAGTAAAACTGTATTTCATTAGCTCTATAAAGAGATGATGTAAAACTGTAGTTCATTAGCTCTATAAGGCGATAGATGTAAAACTGTATTTCATTAGCTCTCTAAGGCGATATATGTAAAACTGTATTTCATTAGCTCTATAAGGAGATAGACGTAAAACTGTATTTCATTAGCTCTATAAGGAGATAGACGTAAAACTGTATATCATTAGCTCTATAAGGAGATAGATGTAAAACTGTATTTCATTAGCTCTATAAGGCGATAGATGTAAAACTGTATTTCATTAGCTCTATAAGGAGATAGACGTAAAACTGTATTTCATGAGCTCTAAAAGGAGATGATGTAAAACTGTATTTCATTAGCTCTATAAGGCGATAGATGTAAAACTGTATTTCATTAGCTCTATAAGGAGATAGATGTAAAACTGTATTTCATTAGCTCTATAAGGAGATGATGTAAAACTGTATTTCATTAGCTCTATAAGGCGATAGATGTAAAACTGTATTTCATTAGCTCTATAAGGAGATAGATGTAAAACTGTATTTCATTAGCTCTATAACGAGTTGTGGTAGCTTTATATGCCGTGGGATATAAAACAGTATTTCATTATCTCTATAAGGGGTATAAAAGTTAAACTTCATTCATTTTCTCTATAAAGAGTTTGTCGTAGCAATTTCATAAGTTTTATAAGTAGAATATTATATTCAAACTGTGCTTTAATTATATTTCAGCGCCATCTGTAGGGGCCAGTACAGGAAGTGATATTTGGTCAGGGGAGGTAATCGCTCTAGCAGTGATAGCAGTACTAGTAATCATAGTATTGATTTTAGTTATACTATGTGTTTGTTGTCGAGGCTGTCTACAGTCTATATGTAAGTATATTTATTTAATATAGTCATGTTCAGCATTTTGTTGAATCGTCTCAGAGGCAGTGGCTCAACTACTATAGGTTCCTGGAAAAAACTAAACAACCAGCTATACTTGTATATAAATGAGTAAAATAACATAATAAATTGATTTGCAGACTGGTCTCATTCCCGGGGCCACTTAAGTGCACGGGCCCCCGATATAGTTTAGCCACTGCAAATGAGATTTTTATATTGATTGTACCAAACTTTTACGTTTATTACCGCAAATACTCTATAACTGTTTTGAAACTGATGGTATTAGGCTAAGAAATTCAATTTTATGACAAATTTGTGAACAATATCAGGTATTATACAGAATACATATATCGTTCATGCATTTGCAAATTCTTTCATATACCCGGAGCAAAAAAACGGGATGAAAAACTCCATTTCGTTTGCATGATCATTGATATTACAAATAATATGATTAATTTCTTTTATTTCAGAGTATACAAAATATAATTGTATATTCCAAATTTTTGTATATTGTGTATACTAGTGCAATAAGGTATTCCAAAAAATAAAAAAAAAATAATAAAAGTAAAATAACTGTTCAGTTTTTTTATCAGCCCAAATAAGTCTATAAGACATACTTTTAATTTTATATTAAACATTTTTTGAAATATTAAAAGATTTGTTAAGAAAATATCATTACTTATAAATATAAACTGATATTGAAAAATGTAAAACAATTTTAATAAATATAAAACACATAAATAAATATAAATAGACAATATTTTGCATAAGGAAAAAACATTTTTTTGAAAAATATATAATTTATTTAATAAAAGATTTTTCCAAACATTGTTAAAGAAATTTTCTACAGTATGATTGAAAAATGTTTGAAAATGATATTCACAAATAATATTTAATAATTATAATGAATATTCAGTATTTGACAAACTTTTTAATATTTTAAAAATGTTTAGTATAAAATTTTAAAAAATTATCGTGGTACGTGGGCCATCTTTGTGACGGATTCGATTCTAGCACACTGCATAAACCGTCCATGTGATCTTGTTACTTGTTATTTTTACCAGTGTATGGGCTTACACCAGTAAATGTTTCTACTGTTTACGTTATTGTTACTCAACATTACACGCTATGTGTATGCGAACGCGAACCTGTCCAGTTATTGGGTTGGGGTTTAAAAAGAGCTCATACAATACGTTGGGATTAAACAATCGATTGTCAAGTCAAAGACACTAAATATTTTATTATATATATTGCCAGGTCCATGTTGCGTGACCAAAGTGTCACCAGTAGAGAAGACTCAATGGCAGTATGTGAATAGGTTCGGGGAAACCAACTTGAAGTTTGTCAGCTATAAACTGTCGGATATTAGACGAAAGAAGCTGGAGAAGGAGGCGTTGATGAAGGCGGAAGAGCCGAGGAAGATTTCTATACAGGTTCCTGTGTTCGAGGAGAAACTCGATGGAAAGTAAGTGATCACATCTAGTTTATTGCCTTGTTAATCTTCAAGACTAATTATTGTTGAAATTTACGTGTAAGATACAGATCTGTAGATCAATATCATAAAGATCAGCATGATGTAAAATTTCATTTCATTGACCCAATTATTGCTGAACTGTGCATGTGAAATGCCTGAAAGAAGACGATATAACTCCAAGTTGATTGCAATTATCCAGTAAGATACGGAGCAGTAGGACGTAAAGCACCATTTCCTGATGGTTTTAGTAGCCGAACACTATACGCGTTCATTATATTCGCTAGCAAGAAATAAAACTAAGATTTAAAACACCATCGTGTTTTTACCAACCAGTAAGGCTCAGAACGTAAAACTCTATTTCATTTTACAAGCCCAGTATAAAACTTTCTCAGCCAAAACTGTAACAGAAGAGTTTTACTTATATTCCAATTCCCTTGCATGTATTGACTCTTAAACTATTGCCATTTCAGGGTCAAGAAGAAATCTCTCCATGTTTCTCGACCAACGAGTGGACGTCCACCACAGTCTACCAGCATCCCAATCTTCAGTGTGAACTCTCCAGGACATTATCAGAATCAACCCAAACCCCTACCCCCGTTACCCGACCGTATTAAAAACACTCCTCCTAACAGTCCAATAACAATACGCCGTCCACCCAGTGCCTTCAATAAACCTCGTGTTCAGCCCACAGAAGATGACTATAAAGACTTCATATTGCGGAATAATACCCAGGCTACGGACAGTCGTATAACTATTGATTCGGATGAGGAGGATTATAGATAGACCCTGTGTTTCAGACTTGTGGTTTTTGCGGAGGATCACCTGTTTCGTGCCTAATAAGATAAAATGTCGATTTTGTGAGTTCATCATTAACTGAATATAAAAGATACTCCTAGTTCATACTAAGACTAGAAGCCTAATTCAATGTTCCAGCTAGTGTTTACAATCAGTCAAAATCAGACCATTTCTTTCGATTTGTTTCCAGGAAGAAACCGAATTGGTTATTATTTATTATTGTTACAACCAATCAGATGTCCCAAAGTCATCGCAAGAGAATCTTGAGTTATGGTACCTCTCGTGGATGTTGATTTGGCTCCATTTTCTGAGTAACAGCACACATTTCATTTGGCATTAGCGATTGTTTAACTCTGGTAATTCATCCGGAGTTTCACCAACCAAATTTGACTCTAAGCTCGCTTATATTTCTTAAGCCTTAAAATTCCGTTATAGAAAGAAATTTTTATAGCTGATATCCAGCCGACTGTATTCTTGCCCTTATTAAAACGACCTCATTTTCACACTGTTATCATTGTTTTTGTAAATATCTTTGTTATTTGTTACTTAATTGTCTCTGTGATATCAATTTGTTATTTTCATTTTTATTCGTTTGCCTTGTATATTTTCTATTGTATCATTTTATTGTAAGTAAGCTATACTGAAGTTGGTGCCAAGCTAATTTCATCAATTTAAGTGTGGCTCGTTTCGAGCTTTTAATAGGAATCTATTGTAAATCAAAACTTAACTATTTATTTACTAATATATTTTTCCTTTTTTCGCCTGTGGGTCTCTGCACTCAATGTAGGATGGGACTTTCAAGTGCTCATTTCAATTTGATTGCAAGAGAAAGGGATATTTCTATAATCCAATGTGAATTTGAATTGTCCTTCAACATCTTCGTTTCGACCTTCTTGCAGTTCGCAAAGGACTTTTGGGATTCAATCTGCAAGCCCCGACCAGGCAAAAAATGAATGGTTTTTGATACTGTTCATATTAGGTGCGGCTTTTAGTGGAGTTTATAATCTTGGTGTTGCCTTTCGATTTATTTTATCTTTTACTTATTGGAGAATTCGTCCAATTTTTAACTGTATATGTTCATGATTGTACAACATCGTAATTGTACATTTGTAAATATAGATCAAGTTTTTACTAAAACTTTGATGGGTTCCTTTGACAACACTGAATATTTCAGCTTTCAATATTCCGTAAAAATCTCTACTTCTAATAGCCTATACTGTATTCTGAACAGACTATAACTTTCATTTAATTGAAGTTGTACAACGAAATCGTCTTTTTATCATTGGATCCCAGCTGTGCCACTATTTAAGTTAATCACTATTTAGAAAATGTTATACCTTAATATCGTATATTTGCGAGTATATTGCGCAGATTTATGGTATTCTAGTAAATTAAACACAGCTTTCTGAACTAATTATTTCCTGCTGTATGTTTGGACCTGTCTCAGTTTGAACTGTGTATATATGAAATAATTTTATCAATATTTTTATGACCATACTGTGATATTTGCTACGTGATATATTTTTATATTTGGGGGGTTGTAAACTATGTAATGGGGATTTATTTAAATAAAGATTTATTAAACTTACGTATACACGTTTAGTCAAGTTAATATCGGTAATAACCTTTTTCACGACGGATAGTTAATAATGCAATATTGAATAAAGATACGGGTTACTTGATGGCATTTGCTTGGTTACGTCATGAAAATGCCAGTCGTGGGTTCTAATGTCGGATGTTGTGTAAAAGTGCGATGACCATGAATAAGTCATCTTCTCTCAAAATTTGACACTGGCTATCAACGTCAAATAAAAGTAAAGGGAAAAGAAATATCACGAACCAAATAAATTTAAATAATAAAACTTTATGAAAGTTAATAAACGTTAGTAAAACTGTACACAATAAATCACAAAATATATTACATATAAAAATATATTATGCTAATGAGCAATTATTAATATCTATCAAAATAACAATATCACGAAATTTACATATCATTATAATAATCTTAGAATACTGATAAATAAACAGCACAATACAAGTATATACATCACTTGGACTATAATCCTAAGTTTTTTCATGTGTCTTTTGAATTGACCCTTGATATTAGACCGAAAAATCTGTCTTTTTATCCAGCCTCTGGTAGCTATTTTGAAAGTTGTCTGCTCTACGCCAGCCGATAACTGTCCAAATATCTCTCACAGGCTGGAATATAGCACGGTGATTCTAACTACTTTGATATGTGTCTTTTGGACTGGCCTTGGATATGTGTCTTTTCAATTGACTTTTGATATGTGGTTTCAAAAAATTGACAAAGCACTATTATCGTTTAATATTCTTCGCGTGACATCTGACTTTTGAAATTTGGTTTACGGTTGGGACGTATTTGACTAATTTCACTATATACATTGCTTGGAGAGATACAGAGATACAACATAGTATAAAAATTGCTATTGAAAATGGGGATACTGTTTTCTGAGGTACTTTTGTGAACAACCAAAAATAATGGTGGCATAATGAAGCTACGCCTATTTGGTCCTTCGATACGATGGACTGTCATGCCCGTAGCTAGTCCAGCGTAGTTGTTTTGAAGAGAGACTCAACTATAACGACTCAACAAGTTATTTAAGTTATCTGAATATTTTAGCCCCCCCCCCCCTCTAGCTACGGACCTGTGGACTGTACGTGTTTTGCATGTGCATAGATGTGTTTGTCCGACTACGATAACGTTGTATTGGTATCTTCGTTGAAACATTACCAGAAAACTCTATACGTTCAATACAAACCTAAGTACCATTTGTTTGTTTTGAGTAGTTCTCACGGGTCAGCGGTGTGACATCAGTAGTTTCAGTATTTATCAGACATCGCATACGACGAGCCGTACAGACCATTTGAAAATCCACTCTGAAGCCCCATAGATCCTGATAAAAGATATACGCATAGGATATACTAATCTTATTAACTAGAGCTCGTCTCATTTTGATGACACAGTTTCGGGTACAAAATCCTCATCAGAGAACATAATTTTGGCACTGAATCTTAAGTTGTCCTTGGGACACCAGGATCACTTTTCAGAATCTAAATCAGACCCATGGTTGTCCTACAAATAACAAACGTGTTCCAGGCACATTTATCGTCTACCATCTCACGTGCACTTATTGCAGATGCCATTACGTCAGCGCCCGTTCGACCGATCCAGCACGTTATAAAGCATATACGTTATAACAGGAGATTGACAAAAATGGAATACACAAAATTACTTACGTCCACGTTTTTTGTTGATCAGACATAGAATTATAATGACAATAACCACCACAATGGCTGCTATAAGGATGCCAATACCAATTCCAGCACCAACACCTAGATCCTGGGAACCAGAGCTACTTCCATCACCATTGGCTGTTGAGGATGACGGTGACTGAAGATGGTAAACCATAGAATAGGTGCCTCGATCATTCTTAGCATACACAACGTATCGTCCATAATCAGAGGTTTGGACTTCATTTATCTCTAAAGTCGAGGATGTCGATGTATCTTTTTGTTTAAATCTGGGGTCCTTAAGTTCTACTTCCGTCCCATCGGCTAGAAGTTTATACCACGTAAAGGTCGGAGGTGGGTTGGACGAGACCCTAAAACTCATTTCTGCTGGTTTACCTTCTTTAATTGGTAATTGAGTCTTGGTTTCTGTTTCCGTATCATGTACAGGTGCATCTAAAGAAAATGAATTTGAAACTGAATTGAAATAAAATTGATGTGCTATGATACTGCCAAAATGTGTATCTGGCAGTAAATCCTCATCAGAATAGCTAGATGAAGGTTAATATCCAAAATAAAACTTACATTGAACAGACAGACTGAACTTTTTAGTCACCATGGCATTGTCTATAGAAGTATGTCTAGCTTGGCAAATATAATCTCCAGTAGAGTCTCTGTTGACGGCTGTCAGCTTCAGGATCTTGTCATCCACGAGTTTAGTCTTGTCGCTGATCGTTTCTTTAAACCACTGAACCACACATTCCGGAAAGCAGTCGGATTGACAAGCTACCTCTAGATCACGGCCGGACATAATCACCTTGGTCTCTTCCGTTGGTGGATTGAAGGTAATAGATGATGGACCATCTGGAAAAAAAGCCGAAGCGAAAATATTAAAATAAGATGAAGATGAAGATGAAGATGAAGAAGCAGGTGTAGATGCAGATGCAGATGAAGTCGCAGATGAACATGAAGATGAAGACACAGGTGAAGATGTACACGAAGATGCACGTGAAGACGTAGATAAAGACTCAGATGAAGATGCGGATGAAGATGCAGATGCTGATAAAGAAGCAGATGAAGATGCAGATGATGGTGACGACTGGGGTGAGGATGATGAGGATGAAAGTGGGAATGGATTATCATGACAAGATAAACATATACTTACAAATGATTTTAAATTCCACAAAATCTGTGGCATCTTTACCAGTAATGTTATTCAGAGCCTGGCAGTAATATTTCCCTGTGTCCGGTCTTTTTACATTGAACAACTGTAGCATTCCGTCACTGGACGGGATCAAATTATCTCCCTTGATGTCTTCTCTATACCAGCTGATGGTACATGCCGGTTTGCATGCTGCCGAACAGGACATGGTGGAACTGTTGCCACCTTCTTCGACATACTGTACTCCTTCTGGAGTAATTATCATTGAGTCAGGACCATCTGGAATATAAACACGCATGGGTAAGTTGTCTTGGCCATGGTGACGTCTGACTGAAATTTGGAATGGTGCAAATGTTGCTGTCAGTGTCTCTGATATCAATGAAAAGTTTCGAAAACCCCTATAAAAAAAATAATGTGAAAATAGATGTAAAAGAATCTAAGCGCATGACTTACAAAGAAGATCAAGAGTAATGGACGAACTTGTGCTGTTTCCTAAACCATTAAACGCGGAGCAGGATACTACTGGCATCTGTAAATGATCTTGACCAAGTCTAGTAGATACAAATTCCAGGATGCTTGTCGAGATCCCATCTGTCACCGTGGTTGTGGTTCCGGTGACTTTCTCGCCGTTCACATACCAAGTTATAGTAGCTTGTGGATAAGTTTCTGTTGATGTACATGTCAGAGTGGCATTCTCGCCTTCGATGAAATTAAAATCTTGATCCTTTGAGATGCTCACGTTGGCTACTGGACTTGGTTCTGAAAGAAGTAACAATATCATTGCCGTTCCTTGTAAAAATCATGTTAATATCGGGGCTTCCAGATTGTTGCCTACCGGTTAAATGTGGCTCGTCTGTATCCTACAAATGAGATCAGCAAGCTAACATTGTTTTGCGATTCTTTCATCACTTGTGTCCAAATACTTTATACAATGACAATACAATGTGGTGGGTGTAGCTAGGGAGGCGGGGATGCTTAATCTTCAGCAACACTTGACACCAGAGAATCCTTTTAGCTAATATTGTTTTATTATTTTGATAAATCTATCGAGGTCCTCTTGTTCAGGGTCATGTTCACACATACATTTTGAATAATGGCGAATGTCACGTTAGCCCCTAAGAGAAATGACTATATCCTACCTATGCATATAACAGAGACATCTTCTCTATGCCTACAGTTATGTACACCCCAGTCTGCATGAAGACAATCAGCTAAGTGATCCTCAGTGCCGGTACAGTGTAGATCATCCAACCATATCCGACCTGTTCCCTCACCAAAGAAGGCATTTAATTCATAGCGAGCACCTTGTCTGAAAAGAATAGAAAAAAGAAGTGTCTATTGCCATGCAATTACCATGTTGCAGTTGCGATGTGTGTTTAATGTTGATAGTTGCCACGTGTTACCTAAATATCGGATGCTATGACGATTACTGCCGCAATAGATGTTGCTACCAAAAGAGGAATTACTACCAAAATAGGGGTTGCTTTCACAATAGGGGTCGCAACCACAATAGGGGTTCTTACAAGGTTGCTACCAAAAAGGTGGCTGTTACCGCAATAGGGATTGCCACCACATTAGGGGTTGTTACAATGTATGGCCAATTGCCCACAAACTGTATTATGATTACGTAAAAATGTATTACGGGTTGAGACCGAGCTGTCTGCAGACAACGGAAGCTTCCGTGTTTCCAAACATGTCACCACAAATAGTTCCCCATTCACCATTATGGAAATACTCCGCTCGTCCCTGGTGAGAACTGTTTCCACCAACTAGCCGTACTTCATTCGGAACACCTGGAATGGTACATGAAAATGAACTTTTCTGACTTTGGTAGATGACCATAAATAGAATCAGTGCAGATTAGATATCATACAAATACAACTTATAATACATTTTGACAACGGACAAAGGACGTTCTCCATCAAGATCAACTGGAATTAGTCTAGATACTGACTCTGTACTCACAGACTCAGATCAAAAATCATAAACTTACTTAGACAGACAACAAGAGCTTGATTCGAACACATCCCAGGATCCTGCCATTGTATTGGTATCTGGCAGTCTGTGAGTCTAGCTTCATCTCCCGAACAGCTAACGTTATACATCCAATTATTGGTGGTGGTCTGTTCTATTCTCCTACTCTGCTCAACTCGAGCCGAGGATCTGTTGGTTAGAAACGATGAGATAATAAGAGTCTCTCAGATACGTTGGAAAATCTCAATCAAACGGACCTTCAAGGACTGGAACTTGTAGGTAGTGGTATAGGTTTGAGAGCAAGCATCGTGATTCCTACTAGATGGATGTACATTTGAAAAAGAAACGGGTAAATACTCACGCATTAAATCCAAGAATATCGCAAATGACCTTGGCTTCAGAAGTGTTCAGGCCATCTCCACAAACAGCTCCCCATTCCCCTTTATAAAAAAATTCTACCAGACCATCGTGACTACCTCGTCCACCAGATAGTCGTACTGGGGCTGAAATATAGCGAGAGGTAGTTATACATTTCAAACCAGTGACGTTTCTATGAATCACTATAGGTGCTGAGCAGAGTAGTTGCCATGGAATTGTCAATGGGCTTACAAGTAACTCTATCATGAATATTAATTCGCAGATTAGGTGGGGGGGGGGGGGGGCTTTTTTTATTTTGTAGTCTAGTCGTGTGTATCGAGCTATACTTAGGTACTAAGGTCTCTCTGTGATTGTCTCGCTAGCATTTACTGTTATTACACGCTACATATCGCTACAAATTTTGTAAAGAAAAAACTCATTTTCATCTGGTATTTAAATGTTGATTTACCTTGGCAGGTGACAGCTACATCATCTGTATGATCACACCCAGCATGTTCTCTCCAACCAGCGTGGGAACAGTCATCAACCGTCTTTTCACTACCGATACAGCGCACATCATTCAACCAAATAGGACCTGTTGCTTCACTAGAATAACCACCATCGGTTGACTTAGCTCCTTCACTGAGAGGAAATAGATCAGATGTCAATACAGCCAATGCTGGTACATCAGTCCAAATTACATTAATACACAAAACCCAGAAAGGATAGAAAACTCTTTATTAGATTATATACCGCATAATTGTGAATATAATGCGCATCGATATACGCCACCACAGCCTGTCAAGTTTGCAGACAGATCCATAGATAAAGATTCCAGCTCGATTAAAGTACTTACGAAGGTAGTCCAAGCTGCCGACACGTCACTTCCGCTTCTTCAGGGAACCATCGTAAGTTTGCACACACCGTCCCCCATGTGTTGTTATATCTATACTCAACTCGACCTTCATAAAAGCTTTTACCGCCCGTTAGTCTAATTACTGGTTCACCAACTGTAATAAAAATACAATCCTCTTGGGGATCCTGTCTACCAGCTGGTCCTTGGCCAAACCTTCTGGTATTGATCTTTCCTTGATAAGTCCAATTTACAACTAGGTCGACATAAGTAATAAGGAAAGGTAAACTAACCAGAACCCATTTACTACAATAATGAGGACAGGTGACTTTCAGACCCTTAGCTGTAGCAGGGCAATGGAAAGGTGGGGCATTGCCATCCTGAAAACCGACCATTTCCATCACTGCAACCAGACAACATACACCATTGCCGTTCCGTAAGTATGACTTGCCCTTTTCAACAATCAAGTCTTGTTACTGGCCTGATTTAATTGCAGTAGAAAAAAATTAAAGATATACTTACGTGAACACAATACCACCGTGGACGTTGGACACGAGTCAGCCGTAATGACGTCACCATAGGAACACTCAGTAAGAGACGATTCAGACCCATTGCATGTAATATTGGTCAACCAGACGGATCTGGTACTTTGGCCAAATTTTGTTGTATCAACCTTATCCAGACTCACAGACCTAAAGACAGAAGTGAATTTAAGGGATATGGTGGTCGTGGGCTCTAATATCGGTCATCCTCGTTATTCCGGTTTGGCAGAGGACCTTTCTTTGGAAAGTTAATTTACCAACTGGTGGAGCTACCGTACAACCTTTCAGAATATAAATCTGAAGACATCCAGTTCTTCAAACAATAAAGGTGCTTTGGAAGTTTTAAATATCATGACATTCAGACTTGTTTTGTACTTTGGTTAACGTTTGCTTCAAGCGGATGCTGATATCGCAAACTAGGTAGTTGTTAGTGTAGTGTAGTTTTTGTCCGGAACATATATATACTCACGAATTAAATCCAAGATGGCGACAGACGACGTCTGCTTCGTTCACACCCCAGTTCTCATCACAGATACCAGTCCAGGATTCATTATACCAGACTTCAACTCGACCTTCATATTCAACTTTACTTCCTACCAGCTGGATCAGAGCTGCAAATTCACAACGACAAAGATATAATATAGGGGCTGGTCATGTAGTGTGCAATGAAGGAAGATTGCCCAGAACAACAGGATTAACCTTCTCAATTCGATTTTCAATTGTCGAGAGATATTTGACGTGCAAAGCCGGAACACACACAGGATCATCCGAACGAATAGACGCTTTTATCCATTTCAGCCCCTACGACCAACAAACAGTACCTCGACCAGTATTGGATCGAACCTTGAACGTAAATGATGCTTAAGATTTATCGACACCGTCCATGACAGACGAAGCAACGATTCAAATACTTACGGTGACAAATAACAGCAGCGTCTTCAACATGTTCACAAGAGAACTGTGATGAACCCCATCCGCCTAGCTGACAATCTTCAATCCGATCCTCTCGACCTGTACATTCCACTCTGTTTAACCACACTGGACCAGTTCCTTCACCATAGTGAGAATAATCCCTCACTTCAGCCCCGTTTCTACAACAGATTACGTAAATCCAGTTCCTTGCAATTGTACCCCACACCATTTCATAATATGATCCTGATAGTTGTCCCCAAAGTAAGTCAGTCTGCCCCTGTTTGTTTACCGAGTCATTGAAGGCTGATGCCGCATATGAGAGGATCTAAGCTCACCCACAACTAAAAATCACATGGCTACATTATGGAATATTTCATATTGAATTTTGTTAATAAAACTTACGGATTAAAACCAAGTTGTCTACAAACTACGGCTGCATCTGATCTGTCCCAATAGTCATCACAGACTGTACCCCAGACGCCATTATAGTTCACCTCTATCCGACCTTCATACGGCTGGATACCACCAACAAGTCGTACTGTAGGAGGTTTGGCTGAAATATCGTTACATGTAGGATTAAGACACCCACCAAGACAATAAATGAAATGAAGGGTGTCACCACGAACGTAATTGGTCGAGAATTGAACGTGGAGGGAGAGTCCATTTCCGATTTTTGGAACTCAAACGGTAAAATCAGAACGACAAAGACCAAGTAACATTACACCACCCTAACTGTATAACTCTTTGATAATTTAAACTGTGGCTATTGAATTATCCAACTAACAAAACTCTCTAAACTCACGTGCACACCTAACAGCTGCGTAGTTTGTAGTTGGACAGGTTCCTGTAATTGCCAGTAGCCCGAGGTTACATTTTTGTAGCATGGGTTCCGATCCCGTACACTTCACATCCTTAATCCGCACTTCATCCTGGGTTTCATCAAAACTTAGACTTGGTATCACAGTACTTCCGGTTCTATAACACAATCGAAACGTGTTTGTACTACTAAAATGTGGTAATAAAGATCTCAAATATTGGGGCTAAATCAGCTTCACCAGGTTAAACCCTCTAGTTAAAGCAAATCTACAAACCATCAGTTAACTCATGGGCTTGGGTAAGTTACCTTTCCACATTATTTCAGTCTACCAGCTGTAGATAGGCACAGATAATCTGGGAAAGGTCTTCAAGAGCACAAATTCGGCTTTCTCTTGACCAAAAGATCTATGTTCTTATACAATCTGCTCAATAGGCCAAATTTAAAATTCCGTCATTAAAGGGTAAAGAGTATCGGAGATTGCCTGGAGTGGATATGGAACTGCACTGTTGTGTCAATGATGGTGAGAAACTATTCCAGCTTCCACCGGACCAAAGGATTTAAGTACTTATACAATCTATAAGCTCAACAGGTCTTATGATATATCAGACATTGTCAAGAGGTAGATTACGACCTAACCTGTTGTATCCAAGATGGTGGCAAACAATTTCAGCTTCCGTCTGACCAAAAGAACCAGCACAGATTTCCGACCAGGTATTATTGTACCAGATTTCTACCAAACCTTCATTAGTCTTTTCACCACCGACTAATCTCATTACAGCTGTAATATAATGGGGAATGAAATGAAATGTAGTTTCACATCCTACTTATCTGCTCCTGGTTGGGTTACTGTGGACAATCAAAACTATGAAGTGCGCAATGTGGGATTATTCGAAAAGACAATGGCATAAGCCTAGTGACATTTGACCATTTGACATTTACTCCCTGCGAGCAATCGCATCAACCTGCCAACCGGAAGTAATTTCTCAAGGTTATTTTATTATTATGAAAACAGTAGCAACAACAACAAAACGTGCGGTTAATTTGCAAATAGATAATGGAATTCTTTACTTACGACCACATGACACCGCTACATCTTCAGAGTGGTCGCAGTCCGGTTTATTCCAACCCCTATGTGGGCAGTCAGCCAGGCTGGATTCACTTCCGGTACACTCTACTCTTGAGAACCATATCGACCCCTTTCCTTCTCCGAAATAAGCTGGACCTCTCACAACAGCGCCTTCACTGAAAACAATTGGTAAAATCAAAACAAAACATATATAAATATAGTATGAACCTACAATTGAGAGTTGTACAACGCAATACTGAGAGACACGGGACAGTGCAGTACATACTACAAGAACTGATCGTAAACGTTCAAAACTTATTTCATTGTAACAAGTACACACGTGTCCTTACGCTTGGACTGTAAAAGATGGTCGTAACCGTTCAGTAGGCATACTTACGGATTGAGTCCAAGTTGCCGACAAACAACTTGTGCGTTCTCGATCCTCCAGTTGGAAAATTCACACATGGTTCCCCATGTACCATTATATAAATACTCTACCCTTCCTTCTGTTGGTTTTATTCCATCAACCAGTCTTACATCCGGTGCCTTGGCTGTAAATCGAAAGTAGAAATACACCGATTGAGATACCAGAACCAAAGTTTCTGGAAGATTTCTGTAATCCATTCTTCAGCTTTCTCCATTGTTTCTGTGAATATGTACATATTGAGCAGTTGTCTGAAGATCGCACAGAGTGTAACTATTAGGTTTGGTTTGATCAAAAGACTTACGGATGAGACCAATAAATCAGTGACTTACGTGTACATTGGACAAAGGCTGCGGCATTACAGGTACTGGTTTGGTTGAAAGAACCAAAGGTACAATCAACTAGGGAATACTCCAAACCCATACATTGGAGATCATTCTCCCATATTGTTCCATTGACATCTACCTCGATAGGTCTAGTAGTTCCTACTGCCCCTATCCTATAGAATTATAGAATTATAGAATTATAGAATTATAGAATTATAGAATTTTGATTAATCGTGAAGAGCAGGTCAGAGGGATACAGCATGATTTCACATCTGATAGAGCTGAATTTCAGCTTTCTGTATCAGTTTACAGAGTTAAAATCTGAATTCGAGCTTCCCTTAAACTTCTGTAGGTCTAGTTGTTTCCATTGCTGCTATCCTATCGAATTGCAATCAGACCAAGGTATATAGCAGACAGTTATAAGGATCCGTTTCAGCTAATTGTATTAGTTTTCAGAATTCAAAAATCAGATGTGCTGATGAAGGATCCCAAACATCTATCAACAGCATAGGGAGGTAAATATGATCATGGAGGCGTACTGTGGGTATTAAATTGACTCACAATTTTAACAAAAACCCATCTATTGTTAATCACAGTTCCTTGCTTTTGTGACGCAAGCATACTCTTCCCCTTCCAGACCAATAACGCCTAGATTATATCAATTGATACTGATATTCTGCAATAGTGCTGCGTTGACTAAGGTGATAGCGCCGTTGCTATGGTAAATGGATAGTAAACGGGAAAAACTTACGCTGACAGATGACCCCGACGTCCTCGAAATGTTGACAACTAGCTGTGTCATTCCACTCCGACTTGGTACAGGATTCTAGGGAAGATTCTGTACCATCGCAAGCTAAATCTCTCAACCAGATAGTTCCTTGGCCTTCTCCGAAATACGCCCCCTTTTTAGCAACACTACCGCCTCTGTAATTCAGGACACATACTTGTACTTGTATATAATACTATTCCTTTTTGTACCTGGTATGTCTTTTGAGATAACCAAATACGAAATTTGGCATATGCTACAGTTTCAATTTTTTGTAGGGTTGGTCTCGGGTTTACTGTATCCAGAAATACTGTCCTTACCTTTTGGATAGGGACATATCTCGGGTTTCAAATGAGAGGACTCTTTAGCGGCACGTACGTAACATTATCCTGACAGAAACAAAAGATTTATCGCCCCTACCTTCTAAATCCTAGCTGTCTACAAACAACATCAGCATCCTCTGTGGACCAGCCGTCATCACAGATTGTACCCCACGTTTCATTGTAATATATCTCTACTCGACCCTCGTTATATCTACTACCATCTACTAGTCGTATAGTCCACTCTATAAAACATACATTTATTTCAGGGTTACACTCAAACTAAGCCAGTGGTGAAGTCGTTCTCTAGTCAGTGGGGGTAGAAATAAGGGAAAACTGGCATAATGTGGGGTCAACTTTCGGGGTTGATATTTAAATTGAATATTGGAATGGTGAAAATTGATGCTGTCACAGTTTATTCGATACACATTAAGAATTACAAAACCTTTTCTCCCCTCGATCACCAGTTACATACGGATGCGAAGAACAATAGTGGTCATAAGTTTCGAACGCAGTAAGTGTGAATTGCGGTCGAAACTCATAGCCATTTTATTTATTCGTTACAATACACAACTGGTAATCGTTATGGTGTGAGAGCACATTAAGAGAGATGTTGGACTTCCTTGGAAAAATGTCATTTTGATTACCAAAAAAATATTTCAATTTAAGTATATATTATATAGGATTGGTCTGTAGCATGGTAAGGGTACATAAAGGGTATGATAAGGGTATTCCGAGAGGTTAAACGTATCATATTCCTACTATAAATTACTGTTGATAAAGAGTTATAACAATGACATGAATAATTCTACAGGGTATTTAAAGATGAGTCGTCGCATTTATCATACTTATTGTTTCATTAATTGATGTTTCTCTCTTTCAAATTATGAACAAAATATTTATTTTTTCAAGCATAAGAACACCTATACGTTCGATTGATATAAGTAGTTGGATTTTCAATCACAGGGAAATGCCTCAAAGTGGAGATATTATGTACTTTCATAGGGGACATTTGATGTGCCGTTGGCAGTGGAAAACCTACTATCCAACTACAATATAGACAACATCACATATGTCCACATTATCAGTGGCGGAGCCAAAGGGGGGCAGAGGGGGCAGTCCCGAAAGTAAGTTTTTCAGGCAAAAATCTGATAACTATGCACACCCCCTCGGACAGAAACCTCGACCATGCCTAACTTTGCACTTGAGTACGAGAATTATTGACAGCATTTTTGAATCCAAACCATCTAAAACCGTGCTTGGTATCCAACCTAAGTTTCACGTTCATTATTTAGATAAATACAAAATACGATTTGGGGACAGATACAAAAATACTGAAATAAGTGATTAAAAACCTATATGTAAGTCCTGACCGTGAATCAAACCTCAAACCAGACGTAAGTTGTAACATTAAATTGCTCTTTAACTACAACTATGTGGACTCTCAAATGCCCCACCAGTCTCATTGCTACAAAAATGTATATAAAATAGGGCTTGGCATTTCTCTAGTATCTAATGTCGGAAATTAACATGTTAAAAATATTTAAAGAATTTTATAACGTGTCATATATCACCTGTTTCTCTCTTCAAAAGGTTCGCCGTCTGACAGGAATGTGCTACATGGCTCTGACCCTAAGACCAAGCATAGCCACTTTCAGGGCCTGTGGCTTCTTAGAGTGTAAAGAAGTGCAGAATTCTACGTGGAGGGGGTGGTGAAAGGCCAGATATCATCCGGGACCGACCTTGTCCCCCCCCCCCCCCCTTTTTTTAACTTTCAAATATCAATTTACGTAAATTTAACCCTTTTGACATTTCTGTGGCTCTTCCTCGCCTGATGATTCTTTTATGAGTATTACCACATCACACATTACACTTGGCTACGAATATAAAAGCGAGTTTTACGCCCCACTGCGTGCACCTATTTGAGCTAATGAAAAGAACTACGCCTGACCAGGTATTATCATAAACGACCTAAGCTCTAGGATGTGCTTGGGTCTTAACTTTTATCACTGTTTCTACGATATCCTTGCGATCGTTTCGAGAATAAGTATAGCTAGCACCGCATTGACTCATGAAATGTTTGATCCTTACCCACATGTACAGTACTAGTATTAAGATTGGTTTATTGAATAAAATAGAGTATTTTTATAGTATAACTATAAGGTTATATAAAGTAACGTCTAACGCCCAACTGTCATGTATTTGTTTGAAGACGTATTTAACTCGTTTTGTCAACTCTTATAATATTACTTATTATTTAAACCACGTGTTTAGTGACCGACAAGCTTGTCCATTTTATTCTTTCAATGTGCAAAAAATATAACAGAATATTTTGACGAAAATAAACGGTTTTTCTTACCTGATTTCACTGTTGAAAGTTGTAAAATGCAAAATATGATACACAGGCATCCGTAATACTTCATATTCACTGACCTATATATACCTTGACACCTTATAGAGTAAGCTGCCTTACAATACAACACGCCTGCGGGCATTGAAATACCGGTAGGCCTGCCCTGGTGTGTTGACTTGACGCTGACGGGTCACAAGTGACATACGCTCGTTTTCATCCGGATTTGTTTAATTTCTGTGTAAAACATTCAAATGTTTCCTGCATTTATCATCAAATCTATTAACGTCTATCTTAAGGATCCAGCCCCCGGCTTGTCATTCATAACTCACTGTAAGGTCCCGGTAAACAATCAACAATTGATGCAATCGACTCTATCTTATTTTGATGCACATCTTGAAATAGAAAATAGACCCTGAGACATGTTTCAACAACGATCGTGTTGTAGGCTCTTTATCATTATTTCTATATCACTCTACAATTGATGTATTGAGCACTATTTTAACAGTGGTATTTCTATATCGCTCTATAATTGATGTATTGAGCACTATTTTAACAGTAGTATTTGTATATCGCTCTATAATTGATGTATTGAGCACTATTTTAACAGTGGTATTTCTATATCGCTCTATAATTGATGTATTGAGCACTATTTTAACAGTGGTATTTCTATATCACTCTACAATTGATGTATTGAGCACTATTTCAACAGTGGTATTTCTATATCGCTCTATAATTGATGTATTGAGCACTATTTTAACAGTGGTATTTCTATATCACTCTACAATTGATGTATTGAGCACTATTTTAACAGTAGTATTTCTATATCACTCTACAATTGATGTATTGAACACTATTTTAACAGTAGTATTTCTATATCGCTCTACAATTGATGTATTGAGCACTATTTTAACGGTGGTATTTCTATATCACTCTACAATTGATATATTGAGTGTTATTTTAACAGTGGTATTTCTATACCACTCTACAATTGAGCACTATTTTAACACTAAAAATATTTTAATATTGTAAAATGTAGATCTAGATATTTCGTTTTGGGCTACTGCAGTCAACCCAAGATCAGAAGAAGTTTGTCTAAAGATTGTGTTCAGTCTGATTATCCGATTTGAATTGACCAATCATTCTGAGCGATACAAGTAATGATTTTCTCATGTTAGACAGCTATCACGGAGTATGATTGGTTGATATTGACTGAGAAATCAGTGTGCCGAAGAATTTCTCCAGATCAAGTAATCGAGTAATTCGTAGGCAAAAAACCGTAACGAAATTCTAGACAGATTTGGTCTGATCTGCGATATCAGCATCAACCAACCTGAATATGCTTTTCAACAAAGTTACCAGAGACTGAACACAGTTGTTTTCGTACAGGATTAACAGGAATTGGGAACGAAACAGGATGAAGTATACTATTGTATAGTCAACAGTCTAGAATATATCCGCCATGACAACAAGAATAACCTACTATACCGACTTCCTGGCATGTTAGTGCATGGAAGATATAATATGCACCGTAATATAACGCCTTGTTTAAAGGGACAGTTGTTGATTTAAGCCTTGAAAATATGTAAATAGTCTTCTAGAAATGTACGAAAATCGCATAAGACCTTCAGAAATATCTCAAACTAGGAATTTTACTCACTATTTCTATATATATTTTTCTATATATCACAGAGTATCTTAAAATGACGAGTCGTCTTTTCAACTTTCAAACGCGGATAATTCAAATTTAGCGATTGGTGCCGATGTTCGCAATACTTTAAATAGAGAAAGTTTCTAATGGCACTACCAGTACTTCCAAAAGTCGATCCGGTGTAGACGCTACTCAGTCATTACACTCGTGCATAATCGGAATCACACATGCACGAGCATGTACAGCTGCTGACAGTCATTATTCGGCCTAATTTTATACCCATTTACAATTTAAAACGTGGGTTATCACTCACGACCCAAATGTGTCTCCAAAGAAAAACATCCCATAAAAATCATTCGTTTTATTTTTGTACTATTTATAAACATAATTGTCATTTTTAAATACCTTAAAGGGGTATCGTTCTCTATTTTTCGTTGTTATAGATGAACTGAAATTCCAAATATATTATTTTCACGTTAACATCCCTTTAAAGGCAAAGTTAATATATGTTTTGTGTTTTATTTGAAATACTTTGAAAGTCATATACTACCGAATGTTATATATCTGAATCATGTTAAAGAGTTTTTAAAATAGGTTTTCTGGTCTGTTTAGGTGTATCAGGGATACTGATAGCATCTATGTGCACTATTCCCTTTTCCAGTGCGTTACTTAAATTTCATAATGCCGCTGTCCTGGCAAAATGTCTCTCATTGAACCTTCCATGGCGCTGCCCGTCTTCATTAGCCCACATGGTGCAGAAAAGTAGCACGTAAAACGCCATTCATTTAATTGTTTCATTTCACTGAAATTTTAAATCAACATAGCCAGATTATGATTTCATCAATGCAAATAACATTCAAACCAATTTGTTTTACGTCCTACTTTTCTGTTCTATATTGGGTCCATTACGACAGACAACACCATGCAGTGTACAATTAGGAAAATCCCTGGAAACCCCCTATTAGGCCAGAAACCAGCTTGGTTATCTTTTCTTTAAAAAAGAATAGACGAAACATTCCTTTTGTTTAATTTATCATACCAAATAAACACATAAACATATCCATTACTTATATATACTTAAACGATTTATATATTACATATGTATAATTTATGTTGTTTTGACGGATTTATCAATGTCTTATAAAGCCCGTATGACACGAAGCCGCGTAAAGAGCTTGGCCTTATACTTTAATATTTAAATTTAAATAACGAGGTATGGTGTACGGTGCAGGATTATCGAAACATTAG